CCGCCCGAGAGACGAAATGCGCTCGGGGTGCCACTGAACTCGGGTCCCGTGTCGAAAGGAGTGAACATGCAGCGTCAACATACCGCCCATTTGCTTAAGGCGCCACGTGTAATGTGTATTTGGTTTGTATACGTATCGTGCGCATTCGGGAATATGTGGATGTGATATTGGGGCTTTGTTTGAATGGGACTGTGGGTTGATTATTTGGGCCCCTACCAGGTCTGGAGTGAGTCGCGTATTGGCCTCTTCACCAGGCTCACGGAGCGCAAAAAAGTTCTGCTCGGATGGCGAAGAAAAGTTTTGGGAGTTTCAGGTGACTCGGGCGAAATCCGTTCGTGCAACACATTTGTTGCGTCTAGGTTCTTCCTTCAGTCGCCGCAAAGATGCGTTTGCGACATGCTGCCCGCTTGTGCCCCCAGCCCTAGTTTCGCGCTGGCGCCAAAACGGATCTGCGGGACATGAGCGTCTGGGGGCCGTGTCTTTCTGGGTTCGATATGTGGGAGGGGGGGGTGTCTTTTGCGTTGTTGTTTTTTGGGTACCCTTTTTGGGTGTGTTTGGACGGAATACCAACCAGGCAACCAACCAGTTTGCACATTCCAAGAATTTGTGTTGAAGCCACGTCAAAATCGGTCTCCCTCTTTTGGGTGGCTGCTTGATCAGAAACCAAACAGGAGGCCAACCCTTCTGGCAGTTTACCCAGCCTAGACCACGGGTGCCCCCCCACAAGTCACCAACAGGCCGAAATCGGCAGGCAACCTTTGAGTGGCGGCTTGATTGAACCCTGTCTGTTGAAACAACTACCCCCCCCCAAACCATCAAGGCGGAACACGGATGAGCCATGGAAACCAAAAGAAGCCTTTTACAGCAACCTCGGCTGTGGCAGCCCAGATTTACAAGGGGGCGGTTCTCCAATCCGAAAGCCAAGTTTGGCCACTTTGAGAGGCAAGCGGATACCTTCCAAAAAAAAGCAGCGCAGGGAGCCTTCCATTTGCTTAAGTCCACTGGAAGAAACACAAATAAAAAAATATTTCCAGCAGTGACGGATTCCCGTTAAAACCAGCAGGGGAAAATAAAAAATGCTCTTAAGCAAATGGAAGGAGCAAGTTGGAAGCGGCAATTTTTACCGGAGGCTTTGGTCTTGAGGGAATCCACCCTTGGCGCAACGAGATCTTGGGGGCGGAGAGGAGCGACCCTTGTGATCACACGGACATGGGTCAAAACTCTACCAGACCGCAGGTGTTCGCCCCTTCCATTTGGGGTACCTTTTTGACCCACAGCCAAATGAGCCAATAACAATCGCCTTTGTTCCCCTGGCCACCCTTCTTTCTTCTCAATGAACCGCGAGATTATGGCATTTGTCGGAAGGGGCCAAAGCGGTTTCTGGATGATTTGATCTGCGTCTGCATCTGGCAGAAATCAGACCTCCTGGGTCATCCATGGCCTCTCGTGAAAAGTGTCACATTTATGCTCCAGCCACCAAAGAAGCGCAACAAATATAAGTCTCAACATTTGACGATTTGCTTCTTGACCAATTCTAGGCTTCCATGATCTCTACAAATCAACGGAACAAAGTCCCCGAAGAGGAGACCGAGGGCAAGGCTCTCTCGGCGCCGATTTCGCCCAACCAAGCCTCTGCCGCAAAACCGCCCCCCAGGTTTCTTTTCCCCGGCGCCAAATGGTCCCTGTACACGGTCGCGCTGGCGGCCGGCTGCGGTGGTTGAGTCTGCCTGGATGGTTACTCTCGGACCTGCGTGGCCTCTTTCCATACGGGTTTGTTCGTCGCTTGGGTTCTTTTGAGGTTTCTTTCTTTTAACACAACAAAAGGTACCAACTCCAAAGAAGGCACACCAAGCATCATTCTCTCCCTTGAGGTCCCTTGAGGAACAGTGCCTTTGTTGGAGCCGTGTACCCGTTCCCGAGGAAAGGTCCTGAGATGGAACCTTCGCAGGGCGAATCGAGGTTCTAATCGAACCTTGCGAGACATCATACATGAAGCCAAATTGATTGCTCTCTTTTTTTCGGGGGACCCCAAAGTAGTGAAGTTCCCTGTGTTTTCCCTTTAAAACCAAAAACAGCGTACCCTCAAACGAAAGACAGACCCAAATGGGTCTCAAAAAAGGAGGCAGCTTGTAGCCATGAAGAAAAGCCTGCCACGAGTTGTCGAACTCAATACGCCCAAAACCCCTAAACTCATTTCAGGCTTCTCTATATGGGCATGCTTTGTTTTGGTGACCCCTCGCGCAAATTGTGGTGGTCCGTTTACTTTTTTTTCAAAAAACAAAAAAGAAGCCTCAAAAAAAGATTGACAAACCCATATGACCTGGTTGGTGGACTGTTTGGTCTTGCACGCCGCAAAGCCGTGGCATGGGCTTGGGGTCCAGGCATGGCTAGATGGTCACGAAATCTTGGCCCACATCTGGGCTGTGAAATCCCTCCCGGATCTCAAAAAGGGAAGCCCGAGACGACTCGGCCCACCTCGAGTACACCAAAATGAAATGTTCAGGTTAAATAGTTTTGGAAGCCCAGAAATGGTTGGTCACCCTTGCCAGGGAGGAGCTTACTCTCCCAAACCCAAGTGCAAAGTGAAATGGCAGCGATGGCCCAATCTAAGCCTTGTTGGACCACAAGCCGTCTGGGTCTTTCCAACTTTTCTTGGAGGGTACCCTTTCTTTTCTTTCTGGGAAACCAAAGGTTTCACAATTTGTTTCGGTTGTTTCTGGGGGGTCCAACTTCCAAGTCAAAACAACACAGATCAGGCAACCGGCCAATTTTAGGGGCCTCACTGCAATCTAAAGGTAAGCCCAACATGCGTGAGCCTTGTTTGATGGTGCTGTTCTTAGGTTTGTTTCCAAGGGGACCAAAAAATAAAAGTTAACCTAGCTTGCGTCCATCACGCTGTGACTTCCCTGGGCCCACCACAATATGCAAAGGTAAAAGAGTCGCCAACAAGATTCCAGTCAGCAAGAAGCTGCTCTCCATCATGGGCACGCGCAGAGTCCAACTCTACATCTCTACGTCGCGCCTCAGCTATGAAACGATCTTGCTGCCTCGCGTCGTTGACGGCAAGATGAACTTTGTCACAAAACGAAAACAAGGGCCTGCAACGTGAATCGACCAAAAGACTTGCGCATGCCCGCAGTGCACCAACCATCTGCGATTCCCAAAACTCCTTGGCAACGCTCCTTCAAGCAAAATTGTGTAAAGGGCGGGCCTAATTTTGAGCAAGCAACCCCATTTCCCATTAGTTGCAAGGAACATGGTTGCACATGGTCGCACGCTGCAAATGCTCAACTCTTGTGGAAGCTCAATGCCAAATGTGTGACAAGCCGAGGGAAATGTGGCGCCGTGCGCCGGGAGCTGTCGCCAAATCGGCTTGGCGCGTACCTGCTCCCGTCGCACACCAGATGTTGCGCCAGCACCTGCTGTCTGCGCACGGCAAAATTTGCAGCTGGCTTCAAAACCTTGCAGCAGCTTGTCTGCATTGCCATCGCGCGCTTGATGTTGCGGCGGCAGATGCAGTCTAGGCGCCTCAAAATCTGCAACTGGTTTCCAACCCACTTCCAGCTTGTCTGCTATCTGCGCCTTAAACGCTAACTCGGACACACACCTGGAAACGTCAGACCGGAGCGGCTCATGCTGCCTGGCCTTTAATTGGGACTCCAATGACATGAGCAGCTGGCTAGTGTGGGCAACCATCTGCGGCAAGCATGTAAAGCGCTGAAGTCAACTCCAAACTCAAAGGCTCCAGCTGCAAGGCCGGCTGCACAAGCGTGAGAACCAGGCCTGCTAGTTGGACCGAGGCTGCGCAACCAACATATTCGAAGTGCTTGACTTGCTCGGGTGTCACACAAGGCTTGGATGTTTCACAGTGAGAAGCTGCTGCGTCATCAACATTCCTCTGCGCTACCTACGATGATCGGAGAGAGGCCAATCCAGAAGCAAAGTGCTTGACACCAAAGTCAGCCCAGCCCGCACAGTCTGCGGCGCAGAAGGTGCAGCTTCTCCTGTCCGCAAGCAATGTGCCCAGTTGAACGCCTGTTCTTGGGTGTAGATCCACTGCGTGGGCCGTACACGGACAGCTACACGCCAAGTTGTAGGAGTGCGACTGGCACCCAGCCGACCAAGCACAGTATGCGCGAAGCCTCGTGTGTGAGGAGCAAGCGGCCTCCGGCGCCCATCGTCCGAGCAAGGGACGCTGCTCTGCCCAAGACGCTGGACGCTTGAAAGGGCATCTGACCCGCTTGACAAGCAGATGTCTATGGGACCAGACAATGCGTTGCAGACATTCATGGCTGAACTGGAAAAGGTATCTGCCTTGGCTTGGCCGGAGGCCGCTCAACAGCCCACACACTAGCTGCTGCAGCTGCTTTGGACCATCCACGGGCCAGTTCGGACGCAACGCCCTCTGCAATAATTGATTTACCTGCCCATGAGCGCAGCTCATCAATGCAAGTAAAAGCGTCAGCGAGTAGCGGCCCACTGGTGATGCCCTCAGCTTCCAACGGCTCGGCAAGTTTTGGAGACACGCCATCATCAAAGGCCCATCGCAAACGAGGACTTAGATCAGGCATAGGATGCACTAACGGTGCGAGGTGCTCGAACCTCCTTGTGCATTAGCTTGAGCCAAAATGACTACGGAAAGGTTTGCTTGATGAGGGCGACCCATGTCATCCCCTTCACGGCAAATGAACCGTTGATATGGCAAAAGCCTCTTTTCAGGATTTCGGGATTGTTTCAAAGCAAATCCGTCAAGGAGACCAATCATGTTCTGGGGTCCCCTTCTGCGGATGGTTGCGAAATCCATTTCGCAACACCTAAGAAACCATGGTTGAAACCATTCTTTGTTGGTATTTTAGGGAATCCAATCCTTTCAGGATTTTTCTGAGCGGTTTCGCGCGAAAACCGCAAATTTCGCCACCATCCACCGTACGACCCACCCCGGTCCCCCCCAGAAAACGCCGCGCCCTTTGCCTCGCTCCGGGTCGAAGGCGGTGACCACTTCACATCTCCAGGGGTGGCGCGGAGGGACCTCGGCCGAGCTGCTCGGCGATTGCTGCCCTTCGACAGCTACGGGAAATCGGACAAATTGCGCTATTGCCGGGTTGCGTGTCTTCCATTTCACGTTGACCCCGAATGAGTGGCATCTTGTTTTTTTGTTTTCCTAAGGGGATGGCCTCTAGGGGTTGATTCCTTCGATTATTTTCAACCATCCTTCTTTTCAAAAACATTCTGAAAAGAAGGATCCCTGGAAAGAATGGGGAAGGTACCCCTAGATTGCCTGGTTGCTTGTCTTCATCCATTTCACGTTGACCCCGGATGAATGTAAACCTTACGGAGGACAAGAAGGGTGTTTTTTTTTCCAAGGATTCCCCTTAACATGGGACCACTGTACTACCTGCTAATCATTCAGGGTGGATATTCATCCTAGGTTCACGTGGTCAAAATTGCGTTGTTTCCTCCAAAGAGCTGTGAAAATCAGTGAGTCCCCTGCTTTGAGGAAATGTTATAGCTCGTCCCCCATGTCCGCAAAATTAAATGGACCAGACACGAACTGCAAATGTTGGCTAAGGCTCGTGGGATTCTGGTCTGTCACGGCTACTGCCGTGAACCCTGACGCCCCGACCCCAGACCTCTGCCCGCACGAACTCCCCACTTGCGAAAGCGCATGCCATGCTCACCCAAAGTGGGGTTGGGGTGCAAAGACCCAGTTGAGCACCACCCGAAGACAACCAATTGACGTTTGGCTCTACCAACATGGTGATGGCTCATATGGCTGTGGGTCAAGAATAGGCACCCAAAATGGAAACCTGGCAAATGAAAACATGGACCAAAACCTGCGGTCCGCTAGTGGTTGAATTTTGACCCACACCCATATGGGCATTTTCTTCACACCGGGTGACAGAACCACCTGCCAACATGGCCAACTGAGTTGTCTCCCCGCCCGTCCAACATGCAGCCAACACCGACAGCGCTTGGAAGACAGCCACCACGCCGTTTTTGAAGTGGCCTAGTGGATTCCGTGTCTGGACGTCTCAAGTCGCAAAATGGGACTTTCAAAATACCACGCGCACCATGGCTTTCGGTGTCCTTTCGCTTTTCCCTTTGTCGCAACCCAAGAGAAGTAACCCCAAGAACAATCAACCCACACAGCCGAACGGGAGACCTCCCCCTCCCGGCTCCGGAAAAGAAAAACAAACAAAAAACGCGCCTGCGCTGGACGGCGCTGGCGTGCGAGCCTGTCATTTGGACCCAAGCACGAGAGCCCGAAGCACGTTGATTCCAAATGGGGAGAGGCCCCAAAAAGAACGGCTTCTTCCCCAAAAATTGCCTTCTTCCCCCCAAAAAATTGCCTTGTTTCCCCCCAAACATGGCCTTCTTCTGCTCCCCCAACAAAAAATGGCCTTCTTCCCCTCCCCAAAAGAAAGGGGAGGCGGGGCTCCTTCGGTTTCCCTTTGAACTACCGAAACCCACGAGTCAACTCGAAAGGTCAGAGGCGCGGCTCCGAGTTGACTCCCGCCCGATTCGCTATGCGCCTCGCTGAGAGCATTGTCCGCGGCCACGACCTCAGCCCGAAGGCTTAGGTTGGGTTTGACATACATGAAAACCTCCAAGGCTGATTCATAAACTGGTTGATGAATGGCTTGGTAGATTTGAGCTTGAATTGACAGATTGTTAACCTCTACGGTTGTTTGATATGAACTGGTTGATGAATGAAACACTGGTTCAAGTACAAACATTGGGGGTATAACTCTACGATGAATGAAACACTGGTTCATTAAGTACAAACATTGGGGATTTAACTTTGGCTTCACCTCTAATGGAAACCCCGAATTAATAAAGAACCCCACCCCCCCACCCCAAAAAAACAAAGACTAGTCTATCAATCCGGGGTCACTGGAGGTTTGATACGGATGGCCAAAATCCTGCGGTTGTTAGATGGCTTCTCTAAATAAACAAGGATTTCACCCAGAACCTCTGACTCTCGAGCTTCACTCAAACATTTCAAAACTAGTTGTGGAGTCCCGAAGGGAGGCTTTCAAGCAGGGGGGGGGTGCCCCCGGAAAATAACTCTAGGAACTAGGAACCTTAAGGCACCCTTGGGCCTGGGGCTGCCAACTACCCCGCTACCTACCTGCCTTGGGGATTCTATAAAGCCACGACGTTCCAACCAATCCGATCCTCGCTCGTCTTGATCAAAATGACCTCGGATTCACTCGGAGGGACAAACCAATCGAAGCCCCCTTAAATGCAGTAATCGCCCATCCTCGTGAAAATCACAAGTGAACATTAATTTGGGTTTGTCTCACAATGGGGGAACCTCAAAAAAGGGTGCCTTCCGTTGTTGTGTCCCTTGAAACTACTCCAACAAAGGCACCCTCACCAAAAAAATATAGAAGCAGAGACTCGTTTTTGCCCCCATGGTGTGTGCCTGTGCCCTTTTTGGAGGGCACAACTTTTGGGGCTTGGTTCCCGAGAGGAAAATCCATTCCCCAATTCTGGAGTGCCTTGAATGGAAGACACCCCCAACTTCTCTCAGGCCGTCGCCCAGTCGTGGACCACTTGGATGTCCTGTCGATCCAGTGGCGACCGTGTGGATCGGAGCCATCGCTGGTTGCTTGGAACAAACCGAAACGAGACCACCCCATTTTAAGGCTGTTTCTGAAAAATGGGCCGGCAAACTGTGTTGAAACCACCTGGTGGCCACCCGTCTTTGGAAGGGCACCCCTCTTTTTTTTCGTTTTTTTTTTTTCTCGCCTGATGGATGTCCACTTGCCGTTGTGTCCTGCATGCCCCACTCGCGGCAAACATCCTCCGGCGGGCATTGCTTGCACATCACCTGATGGCCGGCCATCGACACGAAGGAAACTCGGCCAAGTGGATGGCACATCCTTCCGTTCGGTTGGAACCCCCAAAACGAGGTGGTGTTCCTTTTCGTTTCCCCCCCAAACCACCCAAAAGTGGGTACCAGCTCAAAGGAAAGACACCCAACTCCAACTTTCAGAGTTTCGGGCCCTTCAGATAGTGTTCTGTATGCCTCCATGGTGCAAGTCCTCATACCCTCATAGGCTTGCTGAGCATGCCTACCTTGCAGACGTGCTCCCTTTCCGGTCCAAAGAAAGCCCATCCCTCTAACTTGACCTACTTTCGTCAAGCTCAAGGTAAGCGGAACTTCTCTTCAACATGTCATGCTTCAGAGCAACACACCACTCATTGGTGTTTCGCCTTGTGCATTGATTGCCGCACTTTCAGCCAATTATGACGGGTTGTCCTCTGGAATCAACTGGGCATCCCATTTTGAAGAGCATCCAAAAAAGGGGTGGGGCAACTGCCATATGTCCAACTTGGAAGTGGGCAAGAAGCCTCTGTTGCGTGAGGGTCGTCCGAAACCCTGCACACTGCCATTCCTCTTCTACCAACCAACCACGGAGACCTCGAACAACTCACCCTGATTTTCTGAAAAGGTCTCAGGAAAATATAGAACGACGATTTCAGGAAGCCTTCCCCGTTGGGAAAAGGGAGTCTGTGACTTCAGAAGGTTTGTCGCCTTAACGCGATCTCCCCGATCTTCCCTTTTAGTCTGGGCCGTCCTCAGATCTAAAAAAAACTTCTGCGTGATAAATGAAAACCCCCAGAAGCCTAAAAAACCTACAACGCCCTGAGGAGGCGGCCAAGCTTCTTTCCCCACCCACTTTGATAAAACGTGACCCCTAAACGGTCTACGCTGTGATCATAATTTGGCTGTGGCTCAAAAAACCGGTACCAAAATGGAACCCTGGTAACTGGAAACATGGACCAAAACCCGGTAACCCCTCCTCCTGTTTAATTTTGAGCCACAGCCATTTGCAAAGTACCAGCAAAACCCATCCGAATGCTGGCCCTTAACTTCTTGGGGTCCCCGTCCCTTCGCTGAACCCAGCTTTGTGCTTGGAGGGCGCTGGTGCCAGCTGGCTGTGGGAAAAGTAACAAATGGCCTGCACCAAGTGGGTTCCACAAGTTCGCATCTTGCCTCTGGAAATTCGCAAATCAAAACTCAGGGGGCGAAACCCTCCTTGCTTCTTTCGGGCCCTCTGGATGTTTGTTTCCTTTTGCCAGGACCCGCCCTCCCGGCTCTGGGCTCCGCGCAATGAACCTGGGGGGGTCGACGCCGCTATGGACACCTGCCGAAGCCGAAGCCGACACCCCAAAACCCCCGAGCCCGCCTTCCCCTCGCTCCAGAAACGGCGTTTTGGGGGTTGGGGGTTGGGGGTTGGGGGTTGGGGGGGGGGGGGGTGTCAGGTGGAGATAAGGGAGAGGTTCTTGGTTATGCTTTCCCTGTCCTCGGGCCTGCTACGAGTCTAACTGTTGGTGGTTCAACTTTTCGTGGAGTGGAAACTGCCACTAAACACCAAAAATATATGATAACCTAAAAAGTATTCGTTTGACCAAGGAAACCATGGGGAATCTGGGGGATCCAAAAAGTCCAACTGTTGCAACTTTTGGTGGCGTTGTGGCAGCTGCCACTAAACCCTAAAAGCCTCAGGGGATGGCTGGGCACCAGCAAGTATTTCCTTTGACCCAAAGGAAACCACTGGGAATTTGGTCATCTGGGAATTTGGGGTGCCAGGCCGACTTCTTTGGCTCCCTTTCAGGAAAACGGAAAACCCGATGCTCCCCTGCACTGGATCCACGTCCCGCATGTTTTAAGCTCTGGCGGTGATGATTTTTTTGACACCCAGCAGCTTGAAGAAAAAGACTCCGGGCAGCTGAAGCCACGCCCCAATCGTAGGTCTCATGGCTCGTTGGTCAAAAAAGAACTCACCGTGGACCACCTAAAAAAAAGGTCGGCTCCGCGCACTGGACCAAATGATGCCCAAAATCAGTGGAAGCATTTGGTAGGTGGTGCCTCCCAATATTCAGGGAGTAATTTGATTTGACCACCGGTGCGAAATGGATCTTGTCAGTATGAAGGGAACCTTGGTCACGAACCTGCCCATCCACAGGTCACCGTTTGCCAGAAGAGTCAGGGTACCCCCAACCCCTATGGAGTGGCCGCTTTGCACTTTACAACCAGGGGGATCCCCCCAAAAAATGATCTGGACACTGGTTGCCCACGTTCGCCAGCAATGCATCTGCCAGCTGATTGGCCGAAAAATGTCGGCATGACATCCTCCACACATCTTTCTGGGCTGATCGTTGATGCATTAACCTGAAACCCAAAACAGGGGGGGTCCCTACTGTAAGAGGAAGTCCGCTCAAAGCGACGGCTTGAGGCTTCAATGTGGAAAATCTGCAGGGGAGTAGTTTGCAACCCTCCAAGTGTCTCTGCCTTCCAATCGCAAAGGTCGGACATCCTAGGGTTGCAGCCTTCCCAAAAAAGGGGGTGGGGGTGCAACCAATAATCCGACACCCTGGGCAGCTTTACCCTGGTTCCCCAGAAAAGGAAACCAAGTGGCCATGAATTTCAAGAGTTGGAACCACCAACCACAGTGGTTGGTGGAGTTGGGGCCCTGAATTAAAAGCCATACCCAAAAGGAGAAAGTTTGAACAACAGAAGCTTGAACATCATTACACCAGACCAGGGAATGGGTTGACCCGCGTTGGGCCCCCGGCAGGATTTCCAGATGGCCTCAGCGTCCGCCTTGTGCCGGCGGTTCCTCGGAAACGGATTCGCAGAGTTGGTTCTCGCCTGAGATCGGCCAAGAAAGCACTCAAACGCTTTGCTCGCTGCCAAAATGAGTCTTCCCCAAAAGTAAAAGGAACTCAGGAAGACGTCGTGACCCTAAAAGGGGCCAAAGAAATACGAAAACATCGACGTGCTCGCAACTATACGGTGAATCCACACGAAGATAAACCACAGTACCGGTATTCTGCACAACGATTGTAACTCCGAAACTCCCATTGACTGGTACTCAAAAACTTGCCTTTTCACTTGCTTGATAAGCTTCGGCGAAATGGCCACAAGCCCTCATTTCATCATGAGTGCCGGTTAGAGAGTCAAGGGCGTAAGGAGTGGTTTGCCTGCCATGGGACAGCTGTGATATGGATGTTTTAGGGAATAAACAACTTTATGAGTTGTTGTTGAAGGGAAATTGCAAACCGCCATGTTGGCCGCTATTTTGACACATCCCCATATGCAACCACAAGCACAGCAGCAGGTGTCTGAGGGGCTTTCACAGATGGGGAAGGCTTACTCTCCAACAAGTGTGGAAGCATGTGCAACCAGTGTGGGGGCTTCACACATGATAAAGGTTTGCTCTCCAACAAGTGGAAATCTGACGTGTTGGATAAATATGTTGTCCCTTTGTCTACTTCTGTCGTGCTTGTAGCAAGCAAACCTTGCTGATACCCAAAGAGACCAAAAAATGTCCCTCAGGGGCAGCATAACTTGGGTGAAACTCAGAAACCCAACCACTCAACCAACAAAAAACCTAACCCACAAACCTGACGTCAGGGAACCACCCGGTATTTTATGAGACATCTGGAAAAGTATGATCATCTTGCCCAGCTTCTAGTGGCAAATGACTGGACACCAGGGAAAACCAGGAACCATGTTTGGAGGATATTTCTTTGGGGTGGTTTCAAAGGGAAACCAAACGGAAAACTACTATTTTGGGGGTGCCCTATTCTGAGGCACACCCAAACAATGTCCCAAAACATTGTAAGTGGCCATTTGAAAAAAGGGCAAACTCGCTTTTTGTTTTTGTTTCCCCCCGTCGTTGATGTTGAAATAAGTCAGACAAAAAGCACCATCGGAGACCCATATGAGTGCTTCTCACATAGGGGTCTCCCTATGGTTTCCATTTGGTTTCGCTTTCAGACACCAACTCAAAGTGGTGTTCTAAAACAAGGACACACCCACATGGGTTTGTCTTTTTGTGAGGGTGTCCTTCTTGGGGTGGATTTAGAAGGTTGTTGTAGGTGCTGGGCCCCCGAAACAAAAACACACCCATATGAGTCATCAAAACCTGGTACTAAAATGGTCTACCCAAACCAATGCAAAGAACTACCTTTATGCGGCCGCACCGAATTCTGGCTGGGACTGTCCCTTAACCTGCACTTCCCCCACTCGGTATTGAGTATTGCTCACATGGGGGTTGATCAAAAGGTCCTTTGCACGGAAGACCATAGGCAAAAACCACTAAACAGACAATATGTCTCACATGGGAAAGTGGCCCATTGTCAAATCGCAGGGCCTTTAACGGAAGATTGATCAACCCTATATATATATATATGGCAACCCCTACATGTCATTCTTATTATCATTATAACTATTATTATCATTATCATTATCATTATTATTATTATCATTGTTTGTATCATCAACATCATCATCATCATCATCATCATCATCATCATCATCATGATTAGTACTATTACTAGTATTAGTATTATTATTGTTATTATTATTATTACTATTATTATTATTATTATTATGTTGGTATGATGATGTTGTTATTATTATGTTGCTATTATTATTATTAGTAGTATTATTAGTATTATTACTTACTATTATTGGTATTGCTATTATTATTATTACTATTATTATTATCATTATTACTACTATCATTATTATTACTATTATTATTATCATTATTACTACTATCATTATTATTACTATTTTTATTAGTTTTATTATTATTAGTATTGTTATTATTATTATTGTTATTATTATTACTATTATTATCATCATCATCATCATCATCATCATCATCATCATCATCATCATCATCATCATCATCATCATCATCATCATCATCATCATTCATCATCATCATTGTTATTATTATCATTATTATTATGTTATTATTATTATTATTATTATTATGTTGTTATTATTATTATGGTATTATTATGTTGTTATTATTATTAATATTATTATTGTTATTATTATTATTAGTATTAATATTATCATTATTACTACTATCATTATTATCCTTATTATTATTGTCATTATTATTATTATGAATTATTATTACAATGAATATCATTATTATGCTTATTATTATTACTATTATTATTATTTAAATGTGTATATATATATATATATATTATAACACACGCACACAGAAACAAACACCTTGGGACGCCTTGGGCGCCGGACATGATGACCACTGCCACATGCTCGGCCCGAAGGGCTTTTTGCCGGCAGTACTCCAGCCAAGGCCTCGGATGGAGTTTCGCGGGGCCGCTGGCTCGATGAAACCAACGAGCCTCGACCGGGGGTGGGGGGGTGGTTGGGTGGGCCGGAGAGGGGGGGGCGGTGGTTGGGGGGGGGGTGGTTGGGGGGGTGGTTGGGGGGGGGGGGTGGTCAGGGAGTTAGGTAAGGAGAAGTAGGCGGTTTTGTTGGGACCCGCCTCTTGGTGGGTTGTTTTGCGCGGGGAAACCCAAAAAGAACCACCCAAAAACGAGCCAACCCAGGTCGTTAGTCCTTCCATTTGAGGGCACCGATTCCTTTGGGCACGGCTAACCAGCTGGCGGGTTTTCAGGAACCAAGCAGCTATCAGCTCACCAACTAGTGGTTTGGAGTACCCAACACAGGCTGGCCTGGAGGAAATCCTGGGTGACCCTCGCTGGAGAAAAAAAATCGACGGCAGTTCGCCCGGCAAATGGCGCACAAACCCATCTTTAATGCAGCGGAACCCATCTATGTCCAACCAAACGAACCGATCAAAAGGCCGCCTGTGGATGGACGAAATCCATTTCGCACCACCGTTCAGAAACATGGCGAGTCTGTAAATGCCAACCATGGTTGCAACCAGTGTTTCCTTTCGTGGTGCGATCTCTGGACTTCGTCCATCCGCAGTAGGTCAGCTTCCTCCTGACGGGTGGTTGGTCAGAGGTCAGCAGTCTATATCCCCCCCTACCGAAAGGGACAGAGGGGTGGGGGTCCCCAATTCCATTTATCTAGTCTTCCCCCAACAGGAAAATGGAACCAGACATAGATTTGCAGGTCACCCCCTCCCCCAATTCCATATTTAAGGGGAAGGGATCCGGGAGATCCCTCTACAAAAGCCGGGGTTCAAATGTCCCGCACCATCCAAACCACCAACTTTCAGGGTAACCTGAATTTGACATCCCCAGTCCTTCTTGGCTGAATTTGAAAGGGGAGCAAAAATTTATTTTTTAGCAGCTAAGTGGGGATTTCCCACTAAACCACAATAAGCAAAAATGTAAAAGGTTTCCCAACAACAACCAGTCCTTGGTCTACCAACCTCTGATATTCAGAGCCAACTTCGGCTGACGGTGCCCCCTCTGGGCCCAGAAACTTGTCCTTGTTGTTCCCGTCGAAGCCCTGGAAGTCGATGCCTCCAGAAATCTGCCAACAAACGAAGACGCGGATCCAAAAAAAAACGGCGTCAGGCTGCTTGTTTTAGCCACAACCTTTCGCCAAAAGGGGTACCGGGTACCAAAAGATAGTGGATTCTTTTCAGCTAGACGAAAAGTCCTTTCTGAACCTCGCGAGCCAAAAAATATATATATCGATCTGTGAGCACCGCATTCGGTTTGATCCATGGGCGTAATAGTCTGATCATGCGAGAACATCTGGGGCTGTACGGCTGTCCCCCCGTATCTTCAGACCAGCATTGGACTGCAGCTTGTAACATGTGACTCAAACAAAAAGGGGGGGGTTGTGGAACAATACATTTAAAGGATGTATATAAAGAAAACCAAAAAACGATGGTCGCCCTTTTCGGCGTCCCTAAAGGAACCACCCCTTTCAAGGGGGCGCCCTGACGCCCTCAAAAAACACACATAAGCCCCTCAGACCATAGCTGCCTCTGGCGTGCTCCTTCCGCCACACCCCTTTTTCCGCGAAGCCGTCGCAGAAGGGCCCTATGACAGGGTTGACCAGAAGTCACGTTTTCTGCCTTTCGTGGTCATTACTCTCTGCCCGCTTCTGGGGCTTCGAGTCAGAAGCTGGGGGTTTTGTTCTTCGGTCTACCGCGACTTTGATGAAGTCCTTGGGCCAGTCGCAGGGAACATCAAAGTCAGAAACAAGGGGGTTCCCTTTCACCTACCTCCATTTGCTTAAGTCCCCTGAAAAAAAATAACAAATATTTCCAGTAGTGATAGATTCCCTTTAAAACCAACCGGGGAAACAAACAACTTAACCAAAAAAAAAAAAAAAAAAAAACTTTCACTCGGGTGACTTTCGCGGTGCAATCGCTTCGCCAGACTCGCCGACGGATCCGCGCCTGAATGGCCCTTGAGCTTGCTCGACCTCGCGAGTCGCGCCAGAAAAAAAGCCAGCGTCCCACGGCGAAAGGTGTTGGGATCCAAAACAGGGGAGGTCCTCCCTCAATAGATTTATTTCACCAGCCGGGAACAAATTGAGCCTTTGTGACACCTTCATGGGTGGTCGGTCCCAAAACCCTTTGCTGTGTGATGATTCGCATGGTCCCCCGCTCAGTTTTCAGGGCGAAAAGCACATGTCACGCCCGATGGAGGCCGAAGCGTCAGTCCGAACTTCGGTGATTGTTTTGAGGCTTTTCAGCTTGGTTGCAAGAGGGGGGAAAAAAAAATCCATCCTCTTGGGAGAAACAAGGACGACCAAAAGGCAAACGAGAAGTAAATCCCACCCTTTCTGGGGTCCCACTATTTTGAGGAGGCATACCCGTTTATATATCCCAGCGCGTATTGTGCCGGAGAAACACTCAACCTTGATGGATAATCCAGAGTTGGTGAAAGCCGCCCTGAAAAAAGGGGAGCTTCCACTCGATTCACCGAATATGGCAAGTCAAGTTCGGCCCTGCTGAAAAGAAAGCCCGAGTCCAATCTGGAAGCCCTATAATTCCTTAATTCCACTGGTTCTGCAGAAACCTCCCTGTATTGGAGGGACTCACAAATATATTATTTTGAGGTGGTGTTTTGTTTCACGGTTCTTTGTTTTTCCCCCCTGAAATGGGGTGTCCAACAAATGCGCGTCTTTTAAAATGGCCGAATTGCTTTTCGATATTCCCTAAAATGGGGTACTTAGAATTGATGAGTTGTCCGCTGGATTGTCCAAAAAGAAATAAGTTGTTCAAAATGGAGAATGCCAATCCTATTTCTTCATCCGTAGGAACAACCCACGAAGGGGACCCTTTCCCAACCCCAAAGGATCTTGCGGATTGCCATCGAACAGCCCTGCCAAAATGGCCCTCCGAATTCGACTTGATGGCAAACAGCTGCTGCCAGGCGTTCTTGAAGCCCTGCGAAACTTATCAAACTCGTAAAGGCGATGCTGTGGGCGGCGCAGGTGGCCTCTCCGGTTGGTTCTTGCCAACACGGCTCAAACACCGCGGATCCCTCCAAGGCAATTTGCACTGTGAGCCAGAGCCCTCAAGACGGGCTGGATCTACAGGCACCCTGCAGTTGCTACATGCATACGCTTCAGAACATGATTCCGAGCTGCGCAATTCAACCTCCCCATTCCACGCATTTGAAGTACAAGTGCACAAGAAATACACACCGAGCTCACATTCCGGAAAGGGCAGGACAGAGAGGGAGCCACTTTTCTCGACTTGCATGCTGTCTCTCTTACCGAAAAAAGCCGCACATGCGATGTCACTTTCGGCCTTTTAACCCCATGTTCCCCTACAAAATCATCTTCACAACCCTTGGTACGGTTGCGAAAACCTTTTTGCAGCCCCCTGAAAAAATGAACAGACCCCCAAAACCAAACAACTTGCCCAGAACTGTGAAGTCATACTACATCTCCTCAGTGGCCTCCCGCTTGCTTTTTCTCCAGAATCTCGAGGAAGGAGCGTGCAGAATAGACTTTGAGTGTCGGGATTTCCCCATCATCCCTCGTAAAAAGCACAGATCCCCCCAAGAACAAAAAACGATTCCTTCCCAGAAAGAAAAACAAGTTGCCCCCACCCCCACCCACCCCCACCCACCCCTACCCACCCCACCCCCCCACCCCCGATCTGCGGCCCCGGCTGCCAAGCTTTCGGGTTGCCATCCACCCAAACCTCGGCAGTTCGAAGCGGAACCCCTCGATGCGATGCTCAAATAGAAATCCCAAGGTTGCGGTCCCTTTGACTCGCGTGGTGATGCCCTGGTGGACGCGACTGAAGTGTTGAACTGCATCGCCGTCTCGGATGCGCCAGGTCCGCAGCAACTTCAACGCGCTTGGTGGCCTGTCGGCATACCAAAGGAATGCCTCTTGCATTATATATTCCAGCAAGCGGAGGTTCCTGAAGGTTCCCCTTCCGCTGCTTTTCTCTATCTTCTGGGCATTCTGACAGCGGTCTGTTCAAGTGTCCTCTTGACAATTTTGAACCCACCCCAAAACGGGTCCCGAGCCTGAACAACAGACGTACCCCCAAATTTCCATCTTCAAACATGACCCAACGAAACTCACTTTAAATCGGCCCAAAACGGCCTGTTCAAACTCACCCTGCGGAAATGTAGGAAATTCTTAGCGGGAGAAACAACAAGAGAAATCCACAAATGCGATATCCAAATGTTTCCATCAGAGTTGACCCGCCCACCCCACCGTTTTTGTTTTTTTTTTCCACGGCTGTACTCACAAGCGCCGCTTGCCATGCCTTAGCAGACCTCCATGGCTCTGCAAACTTACAATTCCAAAATCTGAGATACGACCAGATACGACTTGGACCCCCAAATGAAGGACTTACCTGGGCTGTCCGTTTTATGATCCCCTGCTAGAAGTTTGACCTTTGGTGGGTTGAGTTTGGAAACCTAACCACCAAACCACCCAAAAAAAGACCGAGGAACCGGACGGCTGGGACCCGCCAAGCTACTCCACGGCTGTCGCTCGTTTTCCCAGACCGAATCAGCAAACTTGCTGGTCTTCCACCCCACCCGGGCCGGGAAATTCCTCGGGACCCGCGACTCCGAAAAGCTGGAGGTTTCTCAAAGTTAGGGACCCCTGAATGTGGGAGGTGTCCTTTTGCTCCCCCTTAAACCATCCAAAAAGGTGTACCCTCAAAGAGCGACATCCTTCAAACTCATGAATAGTCCCCCCCCCCCCTCAACATCTAGTGTGGCCCTTTAAAACCCCAAAACAGCGCCCACACCACCTTCACTTTGGCTTCTAAGATGGTTCAGGATTTTTTGTTTAGGACCTCAGATGCCCAGTGGCCATGGGGAGAAAAAAAAAAGCGCACCCTTTTTTGGTTGGTTGAGTTTAGACTGGTTTTTCCCCAAAAAAAAGCAACAGAGACTTCTTGCTCCATGCCAAAGCCCATGGCCCCCGAATCTCAGCTGCTGACAATCACCGGCGGCCCTTTGGCCTGTCGAAACGGGAGGTGCCAGCCAAATCGTTTCACTCACACGTCTGATCGCGGGCAAAAAAGTGACCAAACCCGTGAAATGATCTTCCCAAGATGAATCCCCTTAGATGGTCTTGAAGAAATAAAATCTAAGCGTGTCAAAGCAAAACACAATGACACATCTACGTTCGCTCTTCGAACAAATTCACTTGGCAAGCGACCCCAAACAGGGTTAAGTGCAGGTTGCTCTCTCCTGACGTTGAAAAAAAAAAAAAAAAAAAAAACTAAACTAACGGCATGGCTGGCGTTCGCAAGTCGTGCTCAGAGCCAATGAACAAATCCATCGCTGGGATTTCGGAGCGTTGCATCCAAAGAACCCAAGGCTGCAACGGCACGAATCCCTCGAGGCCAGAAAAGGAAAGCACGATGGTGTCGGAAGAAAATGCTCACCGAATGCAAAACGTGTTCGTTTCTTGTGTTCCATCCTGCTTGCCGTTCAAAGCACCCCAAACCCGCACCACTTCGCACAGGTGCCGAAGCAACAGTCCGGGGTCCATTCAAGTAACATGTTCAAAATCAGCCTCCAAACTGGGCTGTCCGTTTTCTGATCCGCTGCTAAAAGTTCTTCGCTTTTAGTGGGTTAGATTCGGAAACTCAACCACTAAACCAACTACAAGTCCAAAAAGCTAAGGAACCGAAGGCTGGGAGCCACCAAGTAAATGGTGGCGTCAATGGAAATCCAAACACTTCGATAGACCATCCGGCTCTCTGCCGAGCTGCCACAGGCGCGGGTGCTGGCTTCGCCTTTGCTGGATAGCCTGGTGAACGGGAGACGTTCGGTACTGAAACCCCAAAGAGGGGGGGAGGGGGGAGGTTCGTGTTGAACAACCCAAAGGGGGTACTCTGAACGGCCAACCGCGAACTGCCAGCGATGCGAGCAACCAGGGAAACAACTGGATTCTCGACATGAACATCCAATCTTCTTATTGGGAAACCACAAGGATTTTCTGTAAAGATTGGAAACCCCCGAATTTGCTCGTTTGGGGTCAAATGACTATCTGCTCAATGTTCCCCTTAAAGGCTATCCAGCTATGTTTCAAACAACAGTTTCAACCTCCTTTCAATGACCAGACCATCTGACCTTCGAACCATCAGAAACAGGGGGATTGTCCTACAAAGGCTTTTGTAAGATGTTTACAGTTGACGTTGGCAGGTGGTTTGCCCTCAAAGCTGCTTTAGTCTTGCCTTGAAGTTGGATACCAAAATTTGTGGGACCCCCGGAAGGTGGTTTTTTCCTCTGGGTGTCCCTTTTTCACCCCACAAAGGGCGCCCTCCAAAATAAACCAAACGTCCTTATTCCAGGACACCTTGGAGTTGATATCTCAAGGGGAAACCAAAGGAATCCAATCATAGTGCGGATGGACGAAATCCTGCACAACTGACGGAACCATGGCATGATTCGATTCCCCGGTAAATACCAACTAACAATGGTTTCATATGAACTCTTAGGCGGGGCCCAGACCTGTCCGATCGATGCCGACCTGATCCCGCCGCCGCGCTGGGCGCTGCCTTGCCCAGCGGACAGTGAGCTCCCATCCACGACCAGAGCAAAGGATCTCGGAGCCCTTGTTCCTTTTCTTTGCTGATGGCCAAAGCTGGAAAGAGAACGGCAACACCCCATGTTTTATGTTTTTTGGGGGGAGCACTTCTCCGGAAGAAGGCAAAGAATTTCACTTCAAACAACCGATTACATACAGTCTAAAGGGAGCTTAACGGTCTGGAGCATCTGCATGTGTATATATATATATATGTATATATATATATATATGTGTGTGTGTGTGTGTGTGTTTGTACAAGGAGGGTATCCCCTCCCCGTATGGACACCTCTGTCCTCTTGAGGCTGTTACATTTTACTTGTTACTGGTGGGTCATTGGCTCCATCATTTGACTGGTGTCCCTTCTTTCATTTTACTCTTCGCTGTTGCTTCTTGCAGTGTTTGCTTCTTTGCATTTTTTGGTCCCTGGCTCCAGAATGATATTTCTCTTGTTTACCGATTGAACCATTGGCTCCATGATCTTATTTATAGCATTTTGGGTTCCAATAGAGTTGTGTTTTGTTCGCATCTTCTGACCAAACCCTTCGCAATAGGACAAAGCTGGGGAAGGCACATGCTATTGGCAAATGCTATGTGTCACAGCTAGGATTTGATGGAGCTTGCCTACATGAGCGAAAAACATACCTCAGATCAGGCACGGCAACGGTGCCCCTTTGAGCAGGCAGGCTGGGGTTATTTGACTCTTTTGGCTGTAGACGCAAGCACACATGAATGGGCTTGCAGGTCATCATAGTAAGAAACAAATGATTGTCTTGGATAACATGTATTAAGTATAGATACAAGATGACAAAGATGAAAGGTGAGCTGAAGAAAACCCCGACTGTTGATACAGTTTTTGATTTGTCCCTCGTAAAGTTCTATTCATGGAAAGGAGGGAAAGTTTGCATCCGAATTGAGATAGAAAATCTAAATGAACTACCCCCTTGCTAAGTTACAAGCGTATTCCAGTAAATGCCCATGTAACATCACATGTGGAAAAGTAGTGATTCTAACTGAGTGTCTTTCCTTATTCATGACTTTTAAAGTCTAGCTTTGTCTTAAGTGAAATCCAACTTGAATGAGGAGCCTTATCAGGAGCGAGAGCCTTGTAAGGAGCTTTTCAGCCAGGAGTCTTATACACAGCTTTACAAGGAGCCTTGTAAGGAAGACCCCATTGATGCCAGTAGCTACGAATCTTCACAACAAAGCTTGGTCCGCGCAGGAAAGCGAATCCGCCGAAGTTAGTCAGAGCGAGTAGTTTTGCGAAAGCGGTTTCGGGCCAAAACTCCAAAGTTCGTGCAAACCATTAAACAATTGCAGCGCAGCGGCCTCAGGTTGTTGAAACTGCGCTTTTGGGCTCCATTCAGCGTTTGAGCCACTTGGCAAACACGCTTAGCTATATGAACGCACCCAATTTGCAACAGGCGCGCGCACACACCAGGGAGAGTTGCTGCGGTGGCGTTTGCGTGCGGCGACGGTGGCAAACGCACGCATTGCAAATGTGATCGCTCCGTGCTCTGCTCTGAGCAAGCAGGTCCTAGGAGCGGGCCGCGCCGCGCTACTTTTCACTTGGGATCCAACATTCACCTCATGCGAAGGGTGCGCAACTGATGTCTTTCTGCTCAAGCGCGCGCAACTGATCTCTTTCGGGCGCCAAGTCTCCAGCAGGATCCAGAGGCGCAAAGGGTGTCTCATTGCACTCGGGTTTCTCGACACCTGTTTGCACGTGTGCTTTTCACTGCTCTAACATCAACAAACGATTAATGAAGTGATAATATTGGTCCGGGCCCACGTTTGCTAACGTGTTCTTCCTCTCAAAAACCAAGCCGTGTTGCCCCACAGAAACCCAATAATTCCGGACCCCCGCCCTCAAACAAATAATATAACTGGTGATGTCGTGGAATGCTAAAGCAAAGAAAGCTGCCAGCTTTGCACTAGCACTAGCACCGCCATGAAGCAGTGCCAAGCCAACACACATCAGCCAGAAGTCCTTGATAGTTGGGATTCCTGAAAGTGTAAATTATTTCCATGAAAACGTGGTTGTTTGACAAGGTCACATGAGGTACCCCACATCCGTGCCCACGCAACATAAATGACCACGCTCAGATCAGCCAAGTGCCACGTTCCTTCCACAGTGCGACAAGTTGGGACAAACCACTAGTACGCTACAAAGTCCTCATCAAATGCTGCCAGCCTGAGAGGCTGATCTTGGCAACCCTTATGCTCCGTATGTCTCTTAGGCTTCTGCTTTTCCCATATAACGCTTTGCGAATGCAAGTGAAGATGCGCATGTAGGCTCATGCATGCGTGAAGGTGCGGCAGTTGCAGGGCTTTACGCTCGCGCCTGTGTCGTGTCATTTGGGTTGGTGGCCGAGCGGGGCTTGGCTCGCCAAGGGAGGTCGGTGCCGTCGCACTTGCTTGGCAGAATTAAGACCTTCGTGAGATGCCCACCTTGCATGCAGGAGACAAAGCGCCTGGACCTCAAACACCACTCCGGCCTCAGCGGGAAACCCACCGCATCCCACCACAGATCGACAGAGCCATGTGCTGTGACACCTGGGCCTCACTGACGCTGCAAACCATCCGTGTGAGGAGGACCTGTTCTCGGTGAACCTGTTCTTCACGCGAAGCATGCTGGCTTCTTGATGAACTTCCTTCCTCCGCCTGGCAATCTGGGCAGCTGGACGCATGCTGGTCGGAGCTCCTTTGGCCTGCAGGGCCTTGAGCACGGAAACCACCTGCGTGACACCTACGATCAGAATGGCGCTGCACGAGTGGCTTTCTCCCATCGCCAAGCCCGTGGCTTTTGCAGTTGGGAGCCTTATGAGGAGATTCGGCATGAGCCTTACCAGGAGCTTTAAAAGCAGCTCTACAAGGAATTGCACAAAGTAGGGAGCCTTGAAAAGAGCGCACAAGGATTATCATAAGCAGTTTTATAGGCCTTTTAAGGAGCTTCCTAGGAAGCCTTCTAAGGAGCGTTTACAATGAGCTTTATAAGGAGCAGTATAAGGAGCTTTGTAAGGAGCTGTCAAAACTCGAGAAGGCTAATGATTCTGCCCCAATTAAACGCAATTAGATTACATGTGTCCCATAAAGTCGTCACTCTTGGTTTCTCTTCTTTTTGTGAGTGTGAGCATCAAGTCTTGTGCTGATGAGATGAACAAGAAAGGGCAGACTTCCGCGCATTGCAACAGTTTGGCCTTCTGTAATCATGTCTCCCTTGCCCTTTCCAGCCCAGAAAACAAGAATCCAGGAATCCAGTATTTCTTGGCAGAAGTCTGGTAGCTTTGAACATCTTCCCTTCTTGGTTGTCCCAAGGAACTCTTGCTCTTTCCCTAGGAAGTCTTGCGCATTTGCTCCAAGAACAAAAAAAACAATGGAATTATTGCTTTAGTGAAACTCCGTCTCCAAGACCTTCAAAGATCCATCCGGGGGGGCTGCATGTGTCCATATATATATATATTATATAGGTTATGTGTGGGTTATGCACATATATATATATATATTATTGGAGGCGGACGGCCCTCCCTCCCCTCCGGGCCTTGGGGAGAATCATCGTGGCAGCTGCCTCAGCTCAAACAAATTGGGGCCTCTCCGTCACAACTTTTTTCGATGGCCGGGAAAGGCTCAGGTTCTGAGGAATCCAAAGGTTCCAACGGGTCGCCATGTGAGGCAAAGAAAAAAAACGGAAGGCAAGGAGCCCAAGCTGGCCGTGAATGTTCACCCTCTAAGCCTCACAAAGAGCCCCAAACATCCCACGCGTGAGCGAGCCACCCCTCAGGCGGAGCTCGGGATGGACGCACTCCTCCCGCAAGCAGGATCGCAGTTCCGAAAACATCGGAGGGCCGTGCGCCAAGGTGAACCCTTGTGAAGGACGCGCGTTGAGGATGTTGTTGGGGCGACGGGGGTCAACAAAGCCGTAAAAAAAACGAAACTGATTTTTCGGGCTGTCTGGAAACACCCATGTCCACATTCCAAACTTCACACGGACAGCAGTTTCAACAAGCCCGACCAGGATTTGCCATCTATGTTTTACCAAAACCAGAAAGGGCACCTGTGGCAAACCTCCCTCTTTTGACTAGGTCACGTGGGGTTCCCGGAACCAGGCGAGGTCTCTCACATGCCGAGTGCCGGAAGCTCTCTCAGAAATACAAGCTCCAGAGCAACATGCACAAGAAACCTGAAAGACGCGTGAGACGCACATGCGTCAGGCCTTTTGAGGGTACCCCATTTTTCCGGGTTTACAGGGAAACCAAAAGGAAACCCGAGCCATTTTGGGGTCCCGCAAAAAGACACACCCACTTCTCCTCCTTTTTAAGTTTTTGCCTGTTTGGCTTTCCTTCGTGCCCCCAACCAAAACCGGCAAACTCTGAAAACTTTTGGCAGGGGTCTAAGCCTGTGGCAGATTTCAGGGTTGATCTTATCTGCGATTCACCAACATGGGTGTGGCTCAAAATAAAGAAGAGAGAATTACGCAAGCTTTTGTCTTTGGTTTCAGTTGCCAAAGTGCCATTTTGGGTACGTGTTTTTGAGGCACAGCCACTGGGTGTGGCTCGTTTGGAGGCAAAGCAAAACCCTTTTCGGGTTGCTCTCTTTGGGAAACCAAGCGGAAGACCGAGGCCATTTGGGGCCCAAAAGTGGTTGGTGGACAATCCACAGTATTCGTCGCTATTAGCCCCTATTGGGCTTGGGGGGGCCCTATTTGGGGGCCAGGAATCGCCACCTCTTTTTCAACCAAAACAACCAACAGGGACACCTATAGGCATAACACGTCCACGCCGGGCCACCACCGCCGGCGCCGCCGGCGGCGCCGGGGGCGGCTCCGGGAAGGCCGCCGGCGCTGGCTTCGGAGAGGCCTCCTGGCGTGCGCCACTCCCGCGTTCGGCTGGGTGTACAAGGGGTGTCAAAATTGCACCGAAACATCCATTAATTATTTGGCCCCCGGCCCCCCCCCCGGGCCCCCCCCCGGGTCCGTCATTTGCCCTTTTGCCAGATTTGATGGAAGCTCCAAAAGGGACTTCTTTTGGAAGACTTGGTTCCATCAGAAGCCTTCTGGGAGCTTCCATGTTCGTCTGAGGGAGTGTAGGGAGGCTGGACCAAAAAACACAAGGATGGTTGCCAGGGACGGAAAAAGCGGAAAGCCAATGATTTTCGAAAGGTCACCCGAATAAAGACACAAGGATAGTTGGCGAAGGATGCTTGTGAAACGCGTCAGTGGCAGATTTTACGGGAGAGGCCCCCAGCTACTGCCTTTGATAACGCCAGAAACAGTCAAAATAATGACCCCATGTTCAAAGGCTCTTAATAAGGATAGTTGATTAAGCATAGTTTGCTTGTCAGTTGTAGAAATCAAAGGTTCATCTTTTTCGCCCAAAAACAAACAAAAAAAACAGGCCAAACAAAGAAAACTAGAAGCTCATTTCAGGTCGATTCGCCTTGGTTGCAACTGAGTTTAGTTGTTTGTTCAGGATCCTTGGCTTTAAAAGTTGACAGGGATAGTTGGTTCAACCTTCCAACGGAAGAGCGGCTTCCCGTGAAAGGGCGCCCTCTTTGTCCAGCCACAGGTGGCCATGGAACCGTATGCACCTTGCTTCTCCAGCCCTTTCTCTCGGCCCAACTTCCATAAGCTTCGAAGGGGAGCAAACTTTGTGCCGAAGCATGGTATGGTTGGAATTTCTCGTTGCTTGGTGCAAACAGCGGCCAAAAAAGGAGAGAAAGCGCTTGGCCCAGTGTTCTTCTTCCCACATGCCAACCTGCAGCCCAAAGTTCTCCGCTAGCAAGGCGCCCTGCGACGGAAATCCAAACTTCGGGCGCCGACTGGCAGGCCCGGAATTTTCTCCTCGCACGGTCTTCGCGCTTTTCCGCGATCGTTAACTGGCTCGGCCAAGGTGAGAAGCTAAGAACCGCGGGAATGCGGGAATGCAGCTCTCAGCTCGACACCCAAGCAAGCCCATCGAGCTCGCAACTCGGGAATCCAAGTTGCCAATGGCCTGAACATCGCCAGTTGCCTTTTTTTTCTAAATTCTCCAAGCAACTGTGAGGTAAAGTGTCTGGAAAAAGTGAGCCTGAATCGCCAGTGGCTTTCTCCAAGCCTGATTTTGCCAGTTGCTTTTTGAGGTAGAGTCTCTGGAAAGGAGAAGAAGAAGAAGAAAAAAAAGGCGCCCAACTTGGCCATCTAAGTTCAGGCAACAGCCCATTGGCCCAGGCACCTTTGGGCCGCTTGGCTTTGCAGGCCCTCCCCCCCCCAGTCAAAAGGATCCGAAACAACTGCAAACCAAAGAAGCAAGATGCCTACAAACACGCAACCAGTTTAAAAACGGCCTATACAATGAAAACAATATCTAGTTATTATTATTGTTTATTATATATTTGTTAAAGGAACAAATCGATCCAAAAAAAAGAAGCTGGGGCCAAGCCTCTGCATTGTTATTTTTTCGGGCTCACTTCCAGCTCTTTGGTGGGCCCTTCTTGGCCGTCGCGGGCGCCCGCTCGGCCTCGCGCCTCGGGTCTTGGGAGTGGTGTTTTTTTTTTTCCCCCCCGTTTACGGCGACTGGGTTCGTGATGGTTTCCTGAAAAGATTCGGATCCCTGGAAAGAATGGTTGGAAAACAACCCCTAGATTGGGTTTCCTTTGGTTTCCCAAACCCCAGCAGATCCCAGCAACCATAGTACTAGGTCCTCCAGTGGAGAGGCTAAGGGTACCCAATTTTTCTTCTGTAGTCTTAGTAGGGGAACCCTCGCCCAAAAAAGTTGGTAAAAGAGTACTACTGGGGGACCTAGCCAAAAGAGACGGAAAAAGGACCGAAAGAGACTGAAAGACCCTCAAAGAGACTAAAAAATGTGTGGGATGTTTGTTTTTTTTTGAGAGAAGCCAAGATGAAACCAAGCCAGGAAGCAGACCGCTAGTTTGACAAACACCGGAAGCGGAAAGAACCACCCTTTTGGAAGGAATCGCATCAGCGCCGATCCCTTTCTTTTGGGTTGGCTAAGGGAAATAGAAAGGTGGCCAGATCTGTTTGTGAGCTCAAGAGCTCATTAGGGGCGTTTCAGCAAACGCATCCTCTAAGTGGGTCGCACTCGGCCGCCTGGCGCCTTGAATTCAAATGGACGGTCATGGGACCTCCCCAAGATTCTGAGACCCCATGTGTGAAGTTTGTTGACCTGGCAAGCTGTCAGGTTTCGGTTTTCTGGGAGTCAAAATATAGCTCGCTACGGTTTGGCCTAAGCGAGCCACACCAGGTAGGCTTGTCAAAATTGGGATCCGGATCCTTTTTGCCACCTACACTATAAAAACAAATGCATGGGTGTGCCTGAATGGTTCATAAAGCCAATCTACACCAGTGGAACCCCTCTATTCCTAGCCAAACTCACCGAGCCGGAGGACCGGGTCTATGCGCCCTTCTTCGAGGCTTTTCTGAGGCCAAGGCCGAAGCCGACTTTGCGGCGCCCGGGGCCAATATGAGAATTGGACCCTGGCCCCCAACAGCGGATGGAGATTTAGATCAACCACTAAAATGGTCTTCCAAAGTGTGGTGGCTGTTAGTGTTTGGGGGCAGAGTCCAAAATATGAGTGTGTTCTTTCAGGTGGCTGGACACGATCATTGCGGCGGAAAAAACAAAATGTCACTTGCTATCCAAGTGCATTTTGTTGGTTGGTTTACAGGGAAACAAAAAACACTGCCTTGTTTCAAGGAAACTCGCATTGTTTCAAGGAAACCCACATGTTGTAAAAGAAAAACGACCATGACTGCAGGGAATCGCAAGCCATGTCTAACAGGGTTTCCCGATGGTCACGAGCCAAAACAAGATGATTGATTTGATTCCAGCCATATATATTTATACATAGTGGACCTTAAACTGCAAACCAATTAGCACAAGGGATCCCAGATTTCTGAGTGACCATCTGTGCTAACAAGCGTGGCAAAGCCCGATTGAGTACCTGAAGCAAGCGTGAAAAGAAATGTTTGGAGCAACCCCCGTGCGCCGCATAGCCAGGTTGCTGCTTGTACCTAAAAATGAGTCACGGTTGCTGGGAAAAAAAGGGGCCGCTGGCGATCCAGCTTGCATGTTTTGTCTCTTACTCCTTCTGCTTGACTGCTTCGTTTGATTTCTTGCTTTTTCCTCTGCCCAGCCTGGTCACCTCCTTCCGCCCAAAAAAAAGATACGCGTGCCGCTTCCCCACGGACCCGCCCTTTATATATATATATATAAAAAAAAAAAAAAAAAAAAATGTACACCTCGGCCGCGGCGGCGAAGCACTTGAGCTCAAAAGTCCGAGGCGCTGGGCCGTCTCCGCCTCCTGGAGCAAGGCGCTGGTGACCAAGGGGCCCCCCAAGGGGCACAGCACCCCGTGGGCCGACAGGAACTGCTCCTCGGCTCGGCGTCTCGGCTTCTTGGTTTGTTTCGCGAGCGCATGGTTGGCGCGCCAAAGCGAGCGAATGGCCTGGGAACCGGTTCCTGGGAGCCAGTTCAAAGCCCAAATCCGGTAAGCAATCCAAACCACCAGTTCGCGGATGCCTGATCTCGAATGGCCCCGACAAAGCCCGGTACTTAACAAAAAAGATCGGCCAAGATATAATTTAAGAAGCTCAGCCAACGGAGAACCAATCACACGGGTAAGAACAACATCACTTTGCGAAAGAAGAGGGCGAGGAGCAGGGGCTTTCCCTGCCACACCAAGTCATACGCCGGAACTGCTGAACGAGAACAATGAAAGCCACATCCAGCAAGCAACCGGTAGGCATGAACACAAGCAAAACCCCTTGAAAGCGCGAATGGACCCGGATGGTTGTTTTATTATCAAAGGGGGTTGATGGTCCATTCTCTCCCGCCGTCGATCTTTCAAAAACTGGCGGTGTCGCCAAGGTGTTTGGTGGTCTGAAAAGACGCGGCTTCCTGCTTGGTTGGAAGCTCTGTTGAGCTCGCTGCACTCCAGAACCCAGGCATTTGTAGAGGAATCCCCGGAGCTGTTTGGGTGTTCCATGCAACAGTGGAGTGGTTTGGTGTGGGAAAGTGAGGCTTCACAAGGATAAAGCACACATCATTCCCGTACTCAACTTCGCCTCCCCGCCCCACCCTGCCGACCCCACCCCCACCCACCCACCCACCCCACCCCACCCCACCCACCCACCCACCCACCCACCCACCCACCCACCCACCCACCCACCCACCCACCCACCCACCCACCCACCCACCCACCCACCCACCCACCCACCCCACCCACCCACCCACCCCACCCACCCACACCCACACACACCCACCCACACACACACACACACACACACACACACACACACACACACACACACACACAAGCACACACACACTCCCCGCTCCCCACCCCCACCCCACCCCACCCTACCCCACCCCACCCCACCACCCACGTCCCACACCCACCGCGCCGCGCCACGTAGAGTTGGATCGCCTCCGTTGAGGCCGGGACCTCCTCCTCCAGGCCGTGCAGGAAGTTCCAGGCGTCCTCCTGCCGTTTTGCGCGGATGGCAGCGATCCCCCTGTCGATGAGGTCGCCGGGGGTAGCCCTGTGGAGGGGGTGGGTTGAGGGGGTTGGGGGGGGGGTCGATGGGGGGGGGGTCGAGGCGGGTCGAGGAGTCACTTGGTGAACAACTGCCTAATATCAAGGTGGGTCCGGACTTGGGGGTTCCAAACTTGTGATAATGGCTCATCCTTATGACCACTTTTTCTCATCAGCATTCCAACCTGGTATCAAAGAAAGTGGCAACCAGAAGCTCAAATTTCCCCAACCATGCGTGTCGGGGAGGCTTTGCAGGGGTCCTTTTCCCCACATGGCGAACAGCTTCACGCTTCAGGTCAGCTCAGTGAGCTGAGTCGAAGACTTTCGGAATTGGAGTGGCCGAACAATTGACTTGGCGACTTGGCGACTTGGCGACTTGGCGACTTGGCGACTTGGCGACTTGGCGACTTGGCGACTTGAGTAAGCTGGACAAACTCAATGCCAGTGAGGACCCCTGACTGCGTTGTAATGTTCGCTTGACAAGCCAGTGCTCACAGGCAGGCCACTATAGTAGTTCTCAGGTGTGTTTACCTCTGGGTCTCGATCAGGGGGTTTCTCTTACCTATGGCTTGCCAAGCGAGAAAGCCCAGTGGTGGTTTTGATGATGCCCGCAGGTCATTCCACTGAAAACGGAAGATAACACCCAAGTCTGTAGCCAACCGGCAACAAAAGGACACCGCACAAGTTGTGTCACTAACTCGATAGCCCTTTGCTTGACTTGGGAACGCGGCATGGCGAGAGAGTTGCTGACACACCTGCAGCAAGTGCCTGGTGAGGGCTCCGGAGTCCGAAGCAAAGATTTGCGAGCTCATGGTCTGGTAGCTACTTCTCGAAGCCTTCTAAAGCTGTCCCTTTTTGGCGGAAGCCCCGAAAAGGAAAACCATTTTCAGGGTTCCCGCAGGCGCTTCAACTTCTTGGGCCTTCGGAAAAATCCGATGCGGAGGTGCACCCGGGCGGCACGCAGAAGGACGCCACTGAGGACTTCTATGCCCTTCACAGGCGAAGTCGAGAGAGAGAAGGCAGCTCACTTACTGGCCAAAATCCAAGAGATATTGACATCCACGAAACAAACGGGTGTGTGACTTGTAATAGGGGAGCCCAAAATGGAACTCGCTCTTCCTTTTCAATGGAGCCTCAAAAAGACACACCCGAATGTAAAACATCTAATTGTATCACATGGGAAAAACGCATACTATACTAACATATTAGGGATGTGTTGAAGAACCTCGTTACCTATCTTACACATACCCACATAGTGTCTCGAAACTGGGGGAACCTCAAATTCCTGGATTCCCTTATACTTATGTTCCCTGTTTTTAGAAACAAAAAATGAATATGAATGTCATCGCACAGTTGTGTGTTTATCAATATGAATGTAATCACACACACACACAGCCACTTACTCCAGTCCCCAATTTGCCTAGCGGCATTTTGCGGGTGCTAGGACAGTGGCCGTTTCGCCCTGGCTCTAAGTTTCTCGTTTCGCTGCCTCGGAGCTTTCCCAGAGGTGATCCATGACAATGCCGCAAGCCTGCGTGACGTGACTGACACGACCCGACGACCCGACCACCCGAAGGCTTTGGGTTTTGAAAAAAGCCACACCCCATGGGCGGGAGCAAAAGACAGGGGTTTGTCTCAAAATGGGGGAACCCCAAAATTGGGCGGGTGCCATTTGGTTTCCCTTTAAAACCATCGTTCAACAAAAGACAGACCCACATGCAGAACGCTCTGCTGCTCCTTTTGCGTGCACAAAGATACAGAAGCCTGATGGTTACGGCACTCAATCTGGACTGTCAGCAACCGATCCAAACACATATGCCACCATCACAGTATGGGTGTGTCTTTTTAAGGGCACCCCTTTTTTATGGTTTCAACGGGAAACCAAGATGAAAGCCGATGCCATTCTTGGAGGGGTTCCACCTTAAAAAGAGGAGCCGCCCATATGTGTTCCAGTAAATGACATGAAAAGAGCGAGTCCCCTTGATTGTTCTGGTCGCGTCGCGCCTCAGGAAGGCGCTAGGAAGGAAGAAGGAAACCCTCGAATTTACCCTGATTCACTCCCTGTCCTTGTGTTTGCCTCGTTTTCCCCCCCCCCCCGTTTTTTTGGTTGGTTTACTTTTGCAATACTTAGGGAATCCACCGTGTGTCCGTCACATGTTTCCTGTAGGGGAGAGAAACAACATGGGTACCAAGGCTTTGGCCAGGCAGCCGGGATCAGGGCATACCCTGGCACATGATCAAGCAAGCAAGGGGGCAGGCCAGCCAGGCCAGCAAACCAAGCAAAAACCAACAAACACAAAAGCGTTCATCTTAGTTTGCATGGGAGAATCCGCACGTGTGGCGTGCTAAGGCGTCCAAGCAACCTGGAGGCAAGCGATCGAAGCGAACAATTAGAGGGTTGATTCCCCCGTTCTCTTCACCCATCGTTCTCTGTTCTTTCCACCCCATGCTCCCATGTTGGCCCACTTGAAGAGAAGGATTCCTTTGGAAATGAAAAGTGGAAAGCGGGTCTTTCTGAGAGACCCGTTTCAAGGATGCGTGACACAGGCACACACGCACACACAAGTTGTCGCTGTGCTTTGGTTCATTGGCCACCCTCAAACTCCCTAGAGGTCGCGCTCTCTGTGCTCAGAGACCCAGATTCGTTGGTTGCAGAAGAAGGGGAAAGCCAAAGCTTTAAAAAAACAAAGAGGAAGCCAAAGCTTCCAAAAGAAGGCGAAGCCAAAGATTTGTTCGTGAATAGAGGTGTGACCCCTTTCTTTCCCGCTCCCTTGAAAAGCAAATCGGCACCTCCAGGCGCGAAGCCAAGGCTTCACCGCAGAGCCGGCCCAGCGCCGCCGCGGCCACCGCCTAAAACGGAGCGCGGCGTTCTATTCTTGGCTTCCTTTCCAAGCCAGCTCAAAAGGATACCCTGAAACAAAGACAGGCCCAAAGCACCCGAAGGTGCGTCATTTTGTTGGAGGTTACCCTTCTGGGCGTACTTTCGGGAAACCCGAAGTTGAGTGGGATGCAGGCCCTTTGAGTTGGCTTGCGCCCGAAGAAAAGCAAAACACCCGTTAGTCCCAGGGTTACCCTTTCTCCCACTAACATGGCACCTGTGAGAGGGCACCTGGAAGAACAGTTTCCTCTTGGAGGGACCCCTGTCAGGGGCCACGTTAGCGAGAGACAGGGTGGCTGTGGCTCAAAAACCGGTACCAAAATGGAACCCTGGCAAATGAACCAAAGACCAAAACCTGCGGTCCCCTGGTGGCTTAATTTTGACCCACACCCGGGTACCAACCCACATTCCAAAAGTGTGAAAGTGCACAGGCACCCTTCCAGGAAGTCGTCCCTCCCTTTCAAGGGGTCAAATGAGAGCAATTTTGGCGCACAAAATCCCTCAAGACCCGGAGCCCTATCATTTCCTAAGGGCTCCAACCCAACTTGGATGACCAACCCACTTGGCGTTTTGTGGGAATTCTTCCCTGTCCACTTGGAACCCACCAGAGGGTCCCTTTTCAAAGGGAAAAAACCGTCTTCCAGGACCGATTCCTCAGTCAGGCTCCATGTGAGTGGACAGTATCCTAAATTATTTTAGTCGGATAAATTCGAAGAACACCCCCCACAAAGCCCACAAAAAAGCCAGCTTCAACCCTAAGTTGAATTGGATGGCTGGTTGAACCACTTAGAGGTTTACTACCCTGGGTTAACAACCACTTCCCAACATCCAAGCCACTCCCCACACCCCACGCCACGTGCCTCCTCCTCCCCGGTCTCCGCCACCTCCGCCGCCTCGGCGTTGGCGGCGGCGGAAAGCTGCGGGAGCTCCTCCGAGAACCAGGCGTCCGCCGCCAGCTCCTGAGGCGGCCCCTTTTTGTCGGATGGGTCGGATGATCGTTCCGAGCGGAAGACCACAAAAACAAAAAACAAAAAACACACAAAAGCCGGAGATGCCCAAAAAGGAATACGTGTTTTTCTTTTTCTTTTTTTCCGGTTCTCTCAGGCCGGTGAAAGGAAACCACCCATTTTGGGGGGTCCCTTGTTTGAAGACACACCTGAGGGGACCCGTATTTTATGGCAATTTGTTCATGGGAAAAGGGAAATCACCCATTTTGGGGGGTCCCCTGGTTCAAGACACCCGGTTTTTCATGGCAATTTGTTCGTGGCGATTTTTTCGGGTTGATGGTTCCGATCGGAAGACCACCCAAAAAAAGGCGCACAACAGCCGGAGAGCCCCCAAAAAGGAAGACCGAACTTCTTTAGGTTTACCGCAAGAAACGGTTCTCTCGGATGGGACCCGTTTTTTTCATGGCGGGTTGTTCACGGGTAAAGGGAAATCACCCATTTTGGAGGAGTCCCCTGTTTCAAGACACACCTACTTCTCACTTCCTGAGTGGAAAACAAGGGACCAAGCTGTTCATTTACCACAAAAATGGTCTTGCCGAAGGAAGTGAGTGGATATGTTGGGGGAAGAGGGGAGATTGGGATGGTGAAGCCGCCCATTTCTTGCAGCCAGTGGGGGTTTGAAACTGAAACTCAGTTGCCCAGTCCGGCCAAAACTGAGAAGCCAAAAGGTGAAGAGGTCGATTCACTTTGGACAACTGAGCAGAGGCAATTTGTCGTCTACTTTCCCTGTGCCTCTACGCATTTCACTGCCCACTTTCCCTGTGCATGCCTCTATGCATTCTCTGTACTTGCCCTACGCATGCCTCTATGCACTTCACTGTCTACTTTCCCTGTGCATGCATCTACGCACTTGCCTCAGTACTTGCCCTATGCGTGCCTCTATGCATTTCACTGTCTACTTTCCCTGTGCATGCATCTATACATTTCACTCTGTACTTGCCCTCCCTATGCATTTCATTGTGCACTTTCCCTATGCATGCCTCTATGCATTTCACTGTCTACTTTCCTTATGCAGTTGAGCTATGCAGAACGCAACGACTTTACCGGAAGAGCCCTTCGCAATGCTTTCGGGAAAAAATGGGTTGCCGCAACTCCTAGAATTCAGTTGGTGCAACTCCTGGAAATCGGTTTTCGCGGTTCGCCTGCAGATGCTCCACTAGAAACTACTCTTTTCCGTGTTGTAATGCCAACCATGCGGCACGAAACACCAGAGTGCACTCTATCCAACATACACACACACACACCCACGCACCCACCCACCCACACACACACACACACACGCGCACGCACGCACGCACGCACGCACGCACGCACGCACGCACGCACGCACGCACGCACGCACGCACGCACCCACCCACACACACACACACACACACACCACTCCTGCGAATCTTAAGATGTAGCGCCAATCCTGCAAACAAAATGCAAGCAACTGCTTTATTCAACTTGCTCAGGCACTTGATGCTTTCTGGTTGGTTGACTTTGAGAGCCAAACGAAACCAACTCGTGTGATTTTCCGTGTAAAGAAACCAACTCGTCTGTGTGCATCCTGAGTCTTAGGGGCGTGCAGGGTAGGGAAACCAAAGGAACACCACGATCTCATGTAATGAAATTCTCAGGGTTGCTGAGGGAATGACCCCTCTTTCACCCATGGATGGTTTCCTTCAAGAGAATCCCCTTCCGGCTCATTCCCAACACCCGGACTCGTTGTCATTCTCTACCTACTGTGGATGGACGAATCTATTTCGCACCACGTAAGAAGGCCGGCATGATTCGATTCCCCAATGTAAACTGGGCTGCCAGAAGTTTAACTTTTAGTTGGAAACTACCACTTAACACTAAAAAGCTGACAAGCTAAGGAATCGGATGGCTGGGAGCCACCAAGTAAACACCAACAGACTGGTCGCAAGGCACAGAGCAACAGAACTCCTGCAGGTCGCACATCTCAGAAGGAGCAGACATCGCCTCCCGCTCAGCCGCCTGCCTGGCAAGGAAGGGGAAAAGCCGGAAACCGCAAAGAAAGCTACCGTACTCTTCTTTTCTTGTCTTTTTTTTGGGTGGGTGGGGGGGTCCTATTTTGACACAAACCCAAATGCAGTCACTAAATTACTGCCCTTGTGGATTGGGTGATCGCCGTGTTCCTGATGAGTTGGACCAAATGAGGTGCAGGTCGCTGGTACATCTCAACAAGTCCGACGGATTGCAAAAAACAAATATGGGGATCACTGTTTCTTAGGGACACTGAAATTTACATCATTCAGCTGGGGATTCATGTGGTCCCTTCAAGGTCATAGCCAGCTGCCTGGAGCCGTTGGAAAAGGCTGCTGGGATGCACAGGACAGCATCTGCGTATGGCCAAAAGCAGGCAGCCGAAAAACACAAGCCGCAGCGTCCCGGACAAGGACCCGAACCCCATCGACGTTTGGTCCGACCAACCACAGTCACTTCTTGCTGTGGAGCCAAGGCCCCGCCAAGCTGCGACAGCGCGTCTGCGAGGTATTGCTTTTGCCACTTGCCCAAGGCCTCGCGGAGCGAGTCGGGCCGTGGTGGTGGTGGTGGTGGTGGTGGTGGTGGTGGTGGCGGCGGCGGTGGCGGCGGCGGTGGTGGTGGTGGGTTTCTTGTTGAACCGACAAGACTACGATAGGAAATGGGCTTCCCAAAGCCAAGTTCGAAGTTTGCCGTTGGGGCTACTTGACCTGGAAGCTTGGGGACAGGTATACACCCGCTAGCAAAAAGGCTCAATGATTTGGCGGGACATTTTGGCTATGATGGCATAATTTGGTCATTTCAAACATGCCATCAATACGAACCCCCCTATAAATCACCTGGACATGGCCGCGGGTGTTTGGTCCTTTCTATTAGCCGATCGGGCAACCGTTCCACGTTGGGGTTATCCGATGTTTGACCAGCCACAGCCAAACCGCGCCCGTTTCAGTGGTTGGGTTTCCGAATTTCATTCACTAAACATTTTTCACTTTGAGCAGGGGATCTGAAAACGGGGCAATACACGGATTTTTGGCAAACAACAAACAGCCACTTGCTTCCCAGCCACTTGCTGTGGAGTACCCACAGCCACAGCCACTAGCTTCCATCAACAACGTTGGGAGCTCCCCTGCAAGCATCTTCATGGAGTCGCGGACCTCTCCTTGGGCTGTGTCAACACCTAGAACCCGTTTTTGGATGAAAAGGTGCATTTCTTTTGCACAAGGCTCCAGTGAGAGTGAGGCCACCAGGGGAACCAGAAGGAGTGGTCTAGCTAAAATCGTTTGAGAACTGGCTGTGGGTCAAAAATAGGTACCCAAAATGGCTTGCCCTGGCAAATGGAAACATGGACTAACACCTGCGGTCCCCTGGTGGTTTGATGTTGACCCATACCCAAATCGTCGACGCAAAAGACCGAGCGCCTGCTTCAGCTTCTTGATCTTCCCCGCGCGCTGCTGCGCCTCCTGACGGCCGAGGCGGCCGAAAACGCGCGGATTTCGGCCGGTGCCCGGTGACCCGTGGCAGCTCCTGTACTGCGGTTAAGTGACGGTGCGAATTTGAATGAGGGGCCCTTTAAAGGACATCTAGGTGGGGATTCATGATAAACACCTGTGGGACAAAGCCAGCCCCCAGCTTTGGAGGCAAAGATCTTCTCGATTCTGGGCCATGTCTAGCGAAGCTTGCAATGGAAGATGCTGTCAAAATGGCTGAAATGTTTCAACCGCTGCAAGCGGTTGGTGATCTAACTTTCTATGCCCAACACCGCGAACGGAGAATGCTCCACCTGGAAAGTTGCGAAGAAAAACGCCCACGAACTGGATTGCTGATTGCTTGGAAAGATTTTCTCCCCGCCCCAACATCTAGTGGTGGCGAAACCTTGCAAAAACCACGGCACGGATGTGGAAAGTTGTGCTGATCGTGTGTATGCCTTGGCATGAAAGAACCCTTTTCATCCCAGCCACCATGTTTTTCAGCTGCTTCTCGAGTGGAAAATCCAGCTGACCTGCCTTATGAGGCGGGGGCAGACCTCCTCTACAACTACCATTTGAGTCTTCCCAATGCAAAGCTAGGAGTCATCCCGACATCGCGCATTCGGACAGGCAGGCCCTAAAACTCGAAATATCTGAGACGCCAGAAATGGGATTCGAATCCATCTGCTTAAACCCACTCCCTGCAAAGCTGGGGGTTCTCCAACTTTTTCCCTTGCATCCAAAAGGGCTTGGACCGAACCCATTTCGTACTGCAATCTCAATGTTCAAGGAAGACACACGCCAAAATGTGCGGCTCGGCCACATGGTTGTGACTTTTCGAGCCGAGCGTCCTCGTCCGCCTTGGCCATCTGCTGGATCTCCCGCTGGAAAAACTGGCCCTGCTGGCTGTTGTGCTGCTTCACCTCGTCCCTCGGCCGGGCCGAAGGGCCCCAAAAGGCACTTGGGAAGTGGAGCGAAAGCCAGCACAGTCAGGGAGAAGAGGGAGAAGAGCTGGAGAAGTGCTGGGAGAAAGCCAGGAAACAGAGAAAAAGGAGCAGGCCGTTTCTTGGAGAGAACAGAATGAGACTGGAAGAGAGAATCAAAAACAAGTAGAGAGAAAAGCTGGCTTTAAGAGCGAGACCAGCCACGATTGTGGCGCACATCTTTTTTCATGCAGTGCAGAGGCACGGACAGATAGCCTCAAAGGAAGGTAGGTAGATATTGATAATAGAACGATGGAAACATGAGAGACTGAAATCCTGGCGTCACAGCAAAGACCAGCCATGAGTGTGGCTCACATTTGTTCATGCAGTGGGTTTGTCTTGAACCAGCTGAACCCCAATGGTCCTCATAGCCGCTCAGTCTGCTTAAGCGGTGAAAGCAAAAACGCCAGCACAAAGCCTGCCTGAGCGGTGGCCTCAGTGAAACAGCTGAACCCCCAAAACGGTCATTGTCCCTCTCATGTCCTTTTCGAACCACCCCCAAAGAGGTGCCCGCAAAGAAAGAGAAAGACACCTAGAAGTCGGGAGGGAACCATTTTTTGGAGGTGTTGTTCAAGGGAAACCACAAGGAAACCCCAAGAAACATCTAAGGAAACCAAATAGGGAAACCAAAAAGGGAAACCAAAAAGGGAAACCAAAAAGGGAAACCAAAAAGGGAAACGAAAAAGGGAAACCAAAAAGGGAAACCAAAAAGGGAAACCAAAAAGGGAAACGAAAAAGGGACACGAAAAAGGGACACCAAGAAACCAAAAAAGGAAACCAAAAAAGGAAACCAAAAAAGGAAACCAAAAAAGGAAACCATCAAAGGAAACCATATTGTGAGGTCTCCAAAGGTCAGCTTCCCTCCAATTAGTGGTTTAGATTGGTGTTCCTGCGGTCGGCTTCCCATTTGCCCTTTACAAGATCCAGGGACCCGCTCAAATCCCCAAACCACCGGGACCCAAACCACCTTACAACCAATAAGGGGGAGGGAGAAAAAAAACTCGTGGATAAGAACAAGAACAACTCGGCAAATGGCAGCCAAACAAAAAAGATGCAGCAAGGGGGATCTGTTTTTTTTTGTTAATTAAAAAAAAAAGAGAAAGAAACATAGTTTCGGCCAAACAAGACAAGACTTTCAACGGCAAACGGTAGCCACACTTCACGAGACCTGCCGGGCATCAGCTCCGCCTGGCGCATCGCCATCAAAGCGAGGCGGTAGGCCTCGCGTCACCCCACCCCCAAAACTGCCGCTGGGGACACGGGAAAACCAGGAAGGTAAGAACACGGAGCAAAGGAGTCTGCGTTTTTTTTGGGGAGTTTCAGGGGAATCCGAAGGGAAAACCACCCGTTTCGTGGGGTCACCCCCTTTAACTAGCGAACGTCAACTCTTTTTTTGTGGTTTTCCCAAGTGGTAGTCTCATGAGGACCTTTTGGATCAACCCCATCATTTTTTACAATCTTCAAAGTCACATCCTAAGCGGTATACTCAAGGAACCCAGCTACCCACCCTTTTCACATGGAACCTGACGATCCAGGGCTGGTTTGGACCATTTTCCTTTTAAAGGGACCGGCTCCCGAACGTCGTCAGGTTCCATGTAAAGGGTGGGAGGGTGTATCCTTTCTGGTGCTCGGAATGAGCCTGAAAAATTCCCCTCAAGGAAACCAAAGTTGACTTCGGGCTCCTTCCATTTCTCGTCATTCCCTTCGCCGCTCCTTTCCCGCCTCTCCGAACCAACCACCTCCACTCCAGTCCTCGACTCCTCGACGACCCGAGGCGCGGCCGAGCGGCCGACTCGGCTCGACACCTCGCGCCTCCACCAGGCGCCCCAGGCGCTTCCGCAGCTCTTCGGCGCGCTGGCGCCAGAGCTCCGTGGCCTGCGCCTGGGAGGCCCCGGACGCCGCCAGGTGCCGCTCCAGCACCTCCACTCTCCACCGGGAAAGGCGGGATGCTACGCGTGTCCCGGCTTCGCGGCGGCGCGGGTTCTTTTCCTTTTTTCGAGGGGAGGTGGGAGCTCGTTTTTTGTGTGTGTGTGTGTTGTTGTTTTTTGGTGAAGAGGGCGCAAGGTTGAGGTTGGCCTTGTAGGGGGGATGTCCGGCAACAAAAATGCCCGCCAAGAATGGGGAGACCAAAAACCAAAGGAACGGCACGCCTTCGAATTGTTTGGGGCCCGGAGGTTGGCAGAAACCTTTCAGCAAGCCAAGGCAAGCGAAGTTCCAGATTTGGATCGGCTCGACAAGCCCTTGGGAAGCTACCAGACTGAACCCTTTTTCAGTCAGGGAAGCTGACTGGGTGGATAACCAAAAGGATTGGGGGGGGTGTCCTGTCCTTCAACACCCCGAAAAAGGAATATTTGCTCCAACCTCGTTTTTTCAGGTTGAATGATATCACTGATTCTAGGATGACTTGTTTCGATTTTCACCCAAATAACGTGGATTCTAGGTCTTACTTGGCACGACTCGCCACTGCCGTGCCTCTGCAGTAGTCTGCTGAGCCTCCCGCATGTCCTGCATCGGCGCGGTCCGCGTCAAGGGGGGGGTGATCAAGGTAGATTGGATCTGGCCAGGACTGGCCAAAAACAAGCTTGAACTTGTTGGGCCTTTCATGTTGAGAATCATCACTGTTCGAGGGGAACACCCCTTCATAGGACGAACTGGTCAACAACAATAAAACAATGAACAAACCTACCAACAGGTTTAAAGCGTGCCAGCTCGCTAAGCAAGTTGCAACCACGAGCTTGCCAATATTCTTGACGCGCTTCAGGCTTGTGTGGTTGCCGAAACGAACACGTACCGGTTAAGAGCGAGCTCAATCTTACCCAACGCAGGGAATAATAGAACGGGGCGCACTTACAGCACCCCGGTGCTACGGAAACTTGGCAACGCTGGTGCTTCCTGCTTGGGTGGGTAGTGTTTCTTGGGCACCCCTGGGTGGACATCATTGGCGAATGTCCACCGGTTCACAGGGCGTCCCACCAAAACTCAATGAGGCGTCTGAGTTCGGATCTTTGGATTCCATGTGAAACCTGGGGATTTCTTACAACCGGCGAATGAATGGGACAGTGGCCCAGTAACGGGCATAGCCATGGGCCCTACGCAGGACCAGATACACGTAACTCCTCGAGGGATTGTGCCAAAGGCACCCCTCCCCTTGTTTTTATATTCGCCGGGTTTTGACCTCTCGGTCGCGCCGAAACGAGCGGAGAGGCTGCTGCGCAGCATCGCGCCTCGGTCCGAAGGATCGGCAAAATTTGTCCTGGCTTCCCCGCAGCTCGCGCCCTCCTGGGGTAGTGCTCCTGTGGCTCCTGGTAACGCGGAACCGGCGGAAAACACAGAGGTCCGTGGACCCCGCTCCCTACGGTGATGGACATACGCCAATTGGCAAAGGGAACTAGCAAATGCCTTCCCTTACTTGAATTACTCCCGCTCCTTTCAGCGACGTCCTCGCTGACCGCGGCGCCTCTCCGCCTCTGTGGCTAACACGTCCCGGACGCGCGCCGCGCGCGTCGAGCAATACCGTACTGGCCAGGGCTGATCGCAGGCAGTCTTCAACGCCCACGCGTTCTCCGGTTGCACTGGCCAATTGCTCTCCGGGCGGACCTCCGGTCTGTCGTGGAGGTATAGGCGGCTGTTCAGGAACATCCAGTCCGTCGAGTGAGCCTTGTATGTCCAATACTTCAGCTTCGCTGCAGTAATCAGACCGCACACCACACTGCGGTGTCGCCCCCTCTGGCAGAGGTACGCAACCCGTGCAGCGGCCCACTCAATACGCTCCTCCTGCTTGCAGCACGACTTGAGAAAGCCCGTCACGAAAATTTGCAGGGAAGAACCTTGAGAGGTGTACAGACATCACGAGGTGCATTCCTCGCGGGTTTGCCCCCAGCGGAGGCGTTCTCAGCCTACTCCGAGGCCTTCAGGGGTATCGAGAGGAGCAAGGTCCCCATCTTCTCACGCCAGCCCGGCCCAGGGACCTCTCCCCGTACTGGTCCTTTGTACGCGCCAAAAGGGTGTTGCATGCAGCACGAAGGGGAGGAGACCCCAACCCCCAACCCCCAAAACGCTGTTTCTGGAGCGAGGGGACGGCGGGCTGGGGGGTTTTGGGGTTTCGGCTTCGGCTTTGGCAGGTGTCCATAGCGGTGTCGACCCCCCCAGGTTCATTGCGCGGAGCCCAGAGCCGGGAGGGCGGGTCCTGGCAAAAGGAAACAAACATCCAGAGGGCCCGAAAGAAGCAAGGAGGCTTTCGCCCCCTGAGTTTTGATTTGCGAATTTCCAGAGGCAAGAAGGATCCAAGCACAAAGAAGCGACAGGGGTCGCTCTCTCTCGCTTTCTGCTGGGTTCAGCGAAGGGACGGGGACCCCAAGAAGTTAAGGGCCAGCGGGTGTGGCTCAAAATTAAACAGGATCAGGGGTTACCGGGTTTTGGTCCATGTTTCCAGTTACCAGGGTTCCATTTTGGTACCGGCTTTTTGAGCCACAGCCAAATTATGATCACTGCGTAGACCGTTTAGGGGTCACGTTTTATCAAAGTGGGTGGGGAAAGAAGCTTGGCGGTGCCGCCTCCTCAGGGCGTTGTAGGTTTTTTAGGCTTCTGGGGGTTTTCATTTGTCACGCAGAAGTGTTTTTTTGGATCTGAGGACGGCCCAGACTAAAAGGGAAGATCGGGGAGATCGCGTTAAGGCGACAAACCTTCTGAAGTCACAGACTCCCTTTTCCCAACGGGGAAGGCTTCCTGAAATCGTCGTTCTATATTTCCTGAGACCTTTTCACAAAATAAGGGTGAGTTGTTCGAGGTCTCCGTGGTTGGTTGGTAGAAGAGGTGTGCGGGGTTTTGGACGACCCTCACGCAACAGAGGCTTCTTGCCCACTTCCAAGTTGGACATATGGCAGTTGCCCCACCCCTTTTTTGGATGCTCTTCAAAAAGGGACGCCCAGTTGATTCCACAGGACAACCCGTCATAATTGGCTGAAAGTGCGGCAATCAATGCACAAGGCGAAACACCAATGAGTGGTGTGTTGCTCTGAAGCATGACATGTTGAAGAGAAGTTCCGCTTACCTTGGGCTTGAGGCACCACCTACCAAATGCTTCAACTGATTTTGGGCATCATTTGGTCCAGTGCGCGGAGCCGACCTTTTTTTTAGGTGGTCCACGGTGAGTTCTTTTTTGACCAACGAGCCATGAGACCCACGACTTGGGGCGTGGCTTCAGCTGCCCGGAGTCTTTTTCTTCAAGCTGCTGGGTGTCAAAAAAATCATCACCGCCAGAGCTTAAAACATGCGGGACGTGGATCCAGTGCAGGGGAGCATCGGGATTTCCGTTTTCCTGAAAGGGAGCCAAAGAAGTCGGCCTGGCACCCCAAATTCCCAGATGACCAAATTCCCTGTGGTTTCCTTGGGGTCAAAGGAAATACTTGCTGGTGCCCAGCCATCCCCTGAGGCTTTTATAGGCTTTTAGGGTATAGTGACAGCTGCCACAACGCCACCAAAAGTTGCAACAGTTGGACTTTTTGGATTCCCAGATTCCCCATGGTTTCCTTGGTCAAACGAATACTTTTTAGGTTTTCATATATATATATATATATACATACATATATATATATATAGTTGGTGTTTTTTTGCAGTTTCCACTCCACGAAAAGTTGAACCACCAACAGCAGGTCCGAGGACAGGGAAAGGATAACCAAGAACCCCTCCCTTATCTCCACCTGACACCCCCCCCCCCCAACCCCCAACCCCCAACCCCCAACCCCCAACCCCCAACCCCCAACCCCCAACCCCCAACCGCCAACCCCCAACCCCCAACCCCCAACCCCCAACGAATCCGAAAACACCAAAGCATGTGCAGCAGCAGCCCAACAAGGGGGGCATCCAAAAAATAAGAGAGCCAAACGAAAACAAGAATCAACCAACAAAAACAACTGAGAGCAAAAAAATACAACCAGACAACATCACCAACTAAGCACAACCAAAAACTACAAACAACCAACCAACCAACCAACCAACCAACCAACCAAACAAACAAACAAACAAACAAACAAACAAACAAACAAGGAGGAAAAAAACGGGACAAAACCCAAAACAACCACTAATAACAAAAACGACAACCGCAATCAACCAAACAGAAGCAAAACACAACAAAAAGCGAGCAACCAAAACACCCCAAAAACAACAAAAGCAGCCAACAGATACAACCCGTAAAAAAACAAGCAACAAGAGAACAAGCAAGCAAGCAAGCAAGCAGGCAGGCAGGCAGGCAGGCAAGGAGGCAGGCACGCAAGCAAGCAAGCAAAACAAACAAACAAACCGCAAGCAGACGGACAAACAAACAAACAAAACAAACAACACAAATAGCCGGGAACAAAATGATCAACCAAACCCCGAAAGAAAACAATTTGAACAACCCTAAAACCAAAAACAAATAGCCCAAATGAAGGGGATTGAAAAATAGACCCCAAGTGTCCATCATACCCCAAAAAATGAGCACATATATATATATATATATATATGTGTGTGTGTGTATACGCATATCTGTGCATATGTGTATATACATACATAAAGATATGCATATGCACATATGCATACAAATCGTTTATGTCCAGGCTCGAATCCCCCTGCCGGCTCTTTGCAGGTTTGGGTTTCCTGCCTCCTTTTGCCGAAGATCTGGAAAAACTCTGTGTCTTTTGACATCCTTTTTGCGAAAACGCTGGAAAAACCGTGTTTATTTTGCGGGGAAATACTGGGGAGCTAAATGGAAATGACAAGGAAGTGCAAGAAAATGAGGGGAGGAAATAGGAAGTCGACATGACAGGAAAGCAAGGGGAAATGAAAGGGAAACAAAGGGGAACTGAAAGGGACATGAAAGGGACAGAAATGAACACAAGGGGAGTGCAGGGGGAATGAAAGGGAAGGAGAAGGAAACCAATCGACACGACGGGAGATGTAGGGAAATGACTGGCAACGAAAGAACGGGACATACATGGAAAATGAAGCGGACATACCAAGAAAATGACAGGGACATGAAGGGGGAGCTGAAAGGAATGGAAGGGACATGACCAATCAAGGGGAAAGCTAGTAGTAAGCAGACAGTTCAGGGTCATGAAGGGGCAGTGCCCACACATCGAGGCAACTCGGGGGGACGTGACGCTGCAATGCAGAGAGAGAAAGAGAGAGAGAGAGAGAGAGAGAGACAGAGACAGAGAAAGAGAGAGAGAGAGAGAGAGAGAGAGAGAGAGAGAGAGAGAGAGCGGGAGGCGTGGACAGGCAGGATGGAGACAGGGAAATAGAAGGAGAAAGAGAAAGAGAAACAGAGAAACAGAGAAACAGAGAGAGAGAGAGAGAGGGAGAGAGGGGAGAGAGAGAGAGAGATAGAGATAGAGATAGAGAGAGCTAGAGAGAGACAGAGAGAGGGAGATTGAGAAGAGAGAGGCTTCGGGGATGGGGAGGATGGAAGGAAAAGAGGACGATGGAACACACGGGGGAGGAGACAAGAGAGAGAGGAAGAAGGAGAAAAGGAAGAGGACCATGTCGGCGGACTGAGCCTCCCTCCGGCTCCAAAGTATGGCCAAGCGTAAATCCAGTGACATCCACCAATCCAACCACTATAGGTCCTAAAATGGGTGGTGAATTCACCTACCAACCAACATGGGATCCCAAAACGGTTTTGACAACCACAGCCATATGTGAGGGTCTGTTGCTCCTGGGCAAGGCGCTGCAGGAGCTGGCGCTGCCCGCCGCGCCACTCCTGGCGCACCTCGTCACATGCGACGAGGTGAAGCGGCTCGCAATCGCCCCCGAAACTCCCTTCCGCTCACGGGCCGAAAAAGGGGTCTGTTGTGTGGGTGTTCGTTTTTTATAACTTACCACTAGAATGGTCTTCCCGAAAAACAAAAAAAAAGACATTCAACTTCAAATTGAGCCGGATTTTACTTCTTCACTTCATGTGGCTGTGTTGCTGACCTAAGGATGCTTCTGCCAACTTGCAAGCACTTTGGCTTGTTTGCGCGCCAGAGCTGATCACGGCCAATAGCCAGAATGCTTGTGGCTGTTCATTGGAGGCACAGCCGAGGTGGAGGCTGCTTTTCCACAACTCATGTTAGCCAAAGCGCCGAAAGTCAGCCCAACGTCGCTGCAAAAGTCGCAGGAACCTTACCTTTGCCCTAGCTCCCACTGTGGCTCGTCTCGTCTTGGGGGCTTAGTACCTCTTTTTTGAAAACCACCATTTTGAGGCGCCTAAAGACATGACACACCCAACCACAACGCTTTGTTTAGTGCGTGTTGTTTGGAAAGCCTAGTGTTTTCCAGGGTAAATACTGGTCCCGGTTTTGGTCAAGGGTTGACACCATGCCCTGAAATGCCACGCATTTGGGCTGTTGTTTGCAGTAAGGTTAGTTTGGACGGTGAAGATTCCTGCTGTGCCTTTTTCGTTGACCTCCCACGCCGGATGTTCGGCGAATCCCTGGTGCTGATGAGTGGATGGTTCAGTATGCCTACCTCTTCTCTCCAAAGCATTGCAGCAGATATTGAACAGGGATCCTTACATTATACACCTGAACATTGCCTTGTAAAAAAAATGGCGGAAAAAGCCATGCTTCAAGTGATTGCAAAATGGAGATCTTTTAAGGAGCCCTGTTGAAGCTTGCTCTGTTGCCCTCCAAGGGTTCGCAACATGCTCCACGCTTGGGTTACTACTTCCAAGGGCAGCTTGGAGCCTGGACGACTGTGGATGCCTTGTATGGAACAAGCTCAGAGGGAAATCAGGACAACCCAAATCCACAAAGTCCAATCTCAGAAAGATCCTTTTTGGGTAGATTTCTTTGCCAGTTCTCGGATTGTGGCTCACTTTTTACTTTTCTTTTTTCGTCTTTTTCTTCCGTGAACTATATACTTGCTTGGGGCAAGTTGGAGGATTTCTATTTCAATAAAACAAGGCCTGTCACGGGTTTGACTCCAGCGCTGGAAGCTGAGAGGTTTCGGACGCCTTTCCTTCAGTCATGACGAAGGGCATGGGTGCGAAGTCAGGTTAGACCCTCAACATGGATCTTGGGTTTCCCTGTAGGTTTCCTTCAAAAAAAGGGGTAGCAACTCAACAAAAAGGTCCAGCAACTACCCTTAAGCAAATATCTCTCGTTGGAAAGAGGGTACCTGCACCCACTACCCACTAGTGTCTCTTTGTTTCACCACGGCGGTGCCAATAAAAGGCATGACAGGAGACATCAGTCTTGGTTTGAACCCGGAAAGCACTGCTATCCACAAGTTGTTGACATGAACTAACCCGCGCCTGGTATCAACATGCATGGCAATGAATACCCAGGTTTTGACGCTCAACTGGCCTCAGTGTTCCTCCGAAATCCCTGGCGCAAAAGTACCTAAAAGAACTAGTAGAACTAGTTCCCCAAGAGACCCTCGTCAGGTTGCTGCCAAGTCCGCTTTACAACACACATCTGCCGAAAAAAGGTTTCCAGATCGGGGGCTTCCCTGTTGTAGCTGCCCTTCTTGGGGTTGGCTTAAAGGGGAAACCAAAAGAAACCGTTGCAGAAGCAAATCCTCGAGCAAATCCTGGCCTGGCTAATGATGGCACGGCTCACCTGACGAGAGCGTGTGGTGAAGGTTTCGGAACGGGAGTGGCTGGGGCGGGAGCTTGTAGCAGCCGAGTAAGTTCTCCGCGGGGATCGCAGGGGTCGATGTGCCAAAGCTGAGCGAAATTGATCGAATTTGCGCGGGGCGCGCGTGCGCGCGCGCGCGACCCGCAGCCCTTGTTGTTGACTTCTCGAAGTTGGTTCCCCGCACTTCGGCAAACAAAAAAAACAACTCATTGGCTTTTCGAGGTGGGGTTCCGGAACCCCACTTCGAGAAAAAACAGAAAAGGGGACCAAAAAAAACAAAAACAAACGAGGTGGGGGGTCCCCTCACTTAGAAGAAACAACCAGGAAAAAATAAAAATATAAAAAAGAAGAAAAAAAGAGAAAAAAACGAGCCCGCGCTGAGGACGAACCCCAGCGACCGATCGATCCCCCGCCTCGCCGGCCCAGGCCTTTTGCGCCTCGACGTCTTTGGTCTCGCGGTGCGCGGGCCTCGAAAAAAAAAAAGCCGCGCGCCGGCACCGACGCACGGAACGGCCGGAATGGCCCAACCCCCCCCCCCCCCGCCCAACATATGATGTGCTACATAACATATACTTTATAAAGTGTAAAGTACTATAGCATACAAGTTATTTTCACAAGGCTCTTGTCTGGTACAGGCATCTATCTAGGACTTGGATCTGGAGCTGATACTGTGGATGGTTGCGAAATCCATTTCGAACTACCGTTCAGAAACCGCGAAATGATTCGATTCGCCCTAGAAATACCAACAAAAATTGGTTTCACCCACGGCTCCAAAGTGGGTGCGAAATGGGATTTCGTACCCGTCCGCAGGATTTGGGCGCTTTTGTAACCGAGCGGCTGGGGCGTCTTCTTGGTCAAAGGCACCAGGTGTTGGTTCACTCGGTCCGTGACCTGCCGATCGGAGTTCGACGGGAGGATGGGTTGGGGGTCCGAAAAACAACGTTGGGGGCAGATGATGGTTTTTCCCTGTGAAAGATCCGGTCTAAGGGACCTCCCAGATCGACCAGGAACCCCCCGCAGCGTAGAACCTCCCAAAAAAAGGAGACCTCAAACCCACCCCTAACAAAGGGCGACCTCAAATCCACCCTGAAAAATGGCTACCGCAAACCCACCCCTAAACAAGGGAGACCTCAAACCCCCCCCCAAACAAAACACCTTCCGAAAGAAAGAAACACACAAAAATGCCCCTGCCCCTTCGTCGCGCTTGGGTCCCAGTCTTTCGCAACTCGAATCCTCGGCTCCCCGTCGCCTGCTGGGTGAAGCGCGCCTTGAGCTCGCCGTCCGCGAAGCAGCGCTTGGCCACCTCCAGCTCCTGCGATGAACGTCGGTCGGTGTGTCGGAAGGCACTCAGCACGTGTGTTTTTTTGGGGGGCCATGTGCAACCAGGGTTTCGGCAAAAACCCCAGGCGTTAGCCTTAAGTGGAAGAAAGGTTTTTGTTCTTGCGATCGGTGCGAGCGATGCAGGGAATGAAATATGGAATGTACCCTATAAACCATCTGGGCATATTATTTAATAAGGGACCCGAAATGGTGGACATCAAACTTCGGTGGGAATTTATGTCCAATCACTTTTGAGGTGGTTCCAACTCTTAAAATTCATGCCCATCCAACCGGTGGTTTCCTTTAAGGGAATCCCCAGGTTCATTCCCTTTCTCATTCCCTACCTATCGCACCGTTCGCAAGTTTTTCCACCGCCGAATTTGGGGCGTGAGCCCGGAGTCCCCAATTAGTTCAAGAGGGCAAAGCGGGGAAAATGTCCCAGCAACTCAAAGGAGCGAAACTGGATTATAGGAAAGCAGAAGGGGTTAAAACAAGATTGTGCAACTCTCTGTTTTTGTCGTGACTTCTCTTCTTCTTCTTTTTTTTGGGGGGGAGGGGGTGAACCTGGTCTGCGGGTTCACCGACTCTTCTCTTTTTAGGCTGGAGTTACCTTCGGTGAACCCAGATTCCCCGAGGGTAAAATTGAACGGGAAAGCAAAGGTTTCACATTCTTTCCAGGTATTTTTCGTTTCAACATCAAAATCGCAGCAAAGGGAAGAGATTCTTGATAAGCACGATGGTTGAATGGGCAATCGATCCCTAGAAAATGGGGGGGGGGGATAAACCAGGAGGAAAACCCAAGAAAGGAAACCAAATGTCAAGCTGCAGCCCACCTGGAGGCATGAAGGGAATCAATTGGCACAAATGACCGACAAATCAAAAAAAACAATGGCCTAAAAGGAGTCTGGATCCGTCTGCTTCCCAAAGAACGAGACTTCACGAATTCAAGTCTGCTCAATCTAGAAAACGACTCCCAAACCTGACACAGGTTTGGAAAGCAATTGCTGACAAACAGACGGGTTTTAGCCCAAAAAATCAAAGGACGTTCCAAACGGGGGGGCAGGCGTTGATTCTTCGCAGAGTTGCAACAAATCCCAACACGATACAGCACCCCCCAAACGCGATTGCCCAGTCGATTGAATGCGCTAAAAACAAATGGGTACCAAGAAAATGCGATTTTGAAGGAAACACGTGGGTGGTACCCAAAACAAATGGGTGTCTGCTTTGTTTAGGGTACCCCTTTTTCGGTAGTTGTAAAGGAAAACCAAAAGAAAAACCACTCCCCAAATGAGTGTCAACAAACTGGTCAAAATAAATGGCTGTCTCTTGTCACAAAGGGATCATTGAATTGATTTCAGTGCCCTTCCGGCAAAGAGCTGCCATGTGTTGATCTACTTTTGGAGCACAGCTGAGTATGTGGGGGAAAAAAAACATTCGCAAAGCATGGACTTACAACATCCTGCACCACCTAAAAAGCCATGGGGAAAGCAGTTTGTTTTGGGGAATCGAATCCTTCCAGGGATTTCGTCCATCCACGGTACGTCCCATTTCGAGGGGGATTCCAACCAATTTCATGGCCTTTGGAGGCACCTCGCGGCCCATTTTGGGGCGCCTAGACCTAGTGATTCGATTTTTGGGATCAAAGAACACCTGCGAGTTGTCCTCCAGTTACTCTCTGCTTGTTGTCCTCCAGTGTATCCTTTTTTGGCTGCATGGCAACCAACAAAGATTGGCAAGGATGTTGAACCCAGCCCCATTTCAGATCCATCTCCAACTTGTTCGGACAGTCCGGTTACGTGACGATTGCCCAATGGCCTCCCCACTCCCAAGAGAGTCTTGCCGCTGCGGCGCCGCTTTTGGAGCCTTTGCGGCATCCTTTCTCGGTTGCTTTTGCTCCACTGCTAAAGGTTTATCTTTGAGTGGTTTAATGGAAACCCCATTCGTTGGCAAAAACTTAAAGTCCTAACATCCAAACAAAATGCGCCAAAGCTTTGTTCGGCGTCTTTTGCGGGGGGTCACCGGGGTCAAGTGCCGTTCCCAAAACCTGACGCATCGCTCGCCTGGCGGCGTGCTGCCACGTAGATCTGCAGCAGCTCCCCGCCTGAGTCGAGTCGGAGCTCTGGACGTCGGTTCCCCAGAGACCATCGGCCAACGAGTCGGAAGACTCCCGGAAATCAAGGAATCGCCGGGGGTTTTGGACATCAAAGTAAGTTCCCTTTGGTCTACATGTATTGGAATGGGGTGGGGTACAGTATAACTAGTAGCCGTGATGGGGAATACGGTTAGTAATTGTTCAGAAGCTTATGCTAGGGGAATCCAACTGCATCTCGGTTTGTCTTTTTGGTTTCCCCTTTAAAGCCAACCCCAAAAAGGGTTGCCTCAGAAACGAAGCACCCAAAAAAAGAGGTCGCCTTTTCAGCTCCCTCGGTTCGGAAAAAACGAGCATGGGGTTCAGGTCTAACAAATGCACCAACTAGTGGGTGTAGGCCGTGTAGGCCTTATGGGGGCGGTGTTGAAGAAACCACCTACGCCGGGCTTCCCCCCAGTTTGAGACACAGTTCTCCAAAAACAATCAGCAAGTGAACTGTTAAAAAAGACCACAAAACCGACCACAAGCCACAAACCGACCAGGCCAAACCCAAAAACGGCAACCGCAACCAGACAAACGGTTTCACCGAACGACCGACCGACCGACAACCACCAACCATCCATCGATGGCCATGGAAACATCGAAATCCATCACAGATCACCACCGCCATCCATCGCCAAAGAAGAAAAAGAACAACAAAAAATCGGAAAACACAATCGGGGAAAAATCGGGGGGGGGGGGGGCAAAAGAACAAAACAAAACGGAGAAGACAAGAAGAAGAAACCAAATCGGGGAAGAAAGGAAATGGGGAGGAAAAAAAAACGGGGGGGGGGGTGTTCTGTTTCCCAGACCATTGATCTCCCGCAACATTTGGCTCAAGGCCCCTTTTGCAGAATCACGACCATCTGAGCGTGAGGACAAAAGGATTATCCATCAGACAATCCACCAGGGACAATCCATCCTCCAATCATCCATTACTGGCATACTCTCCGGAATAGATTCAGGGACCAACAACGACCTCAACTACCACAGGGTTCCAGTTCCCTCCGGGGATAGGCACCTGGGGCAGTGGGCCTCAATTTGTGGTAGCGGAGCGGGGTTTTCCGCAGAGATCCAAGGGAAGATGTCATCCGATGGAGAAGGCTTCATGGAAGCCTTGCACAAGTTCGGCGAAGCCGAGCTACACGGAGGAAACACTTAATTTATCGATCACCGCCAAGCAGCCGCCATCGTACGACGGAAAAGTCAGCTGGTTCAGGTATGAAGAACTCGTGGACGACTGGGTGACAATCACCACAGTAGAAGCAGCCAAGCGAGGTCCATTGCTTAAGAGCAGACTCACTGGAGATGCTTACATGTACAAGGCCGTCCTCCAAAATGACCTTTTGCAAGATCCTGATGAAGGAGTCAACTATTTCAAGAACACGCTGAAGAAGTACTTTTTGAAAGGTGCGACCAACGTGTATCTGTACAGACTCCTCAGTTTCTTCAACCACAGAAGGCAGAACCAAGAGTTCCTCATTTTTACCTCAAAATTCGAAATCCTTCTCATGAGATTGAAGGCAGCATGGATGGACTTGATGCCAATCTTTACGGCACAGTCTCCATCATTTCGACAGTCCGTACAGGACGCAAATGCAAGAACAATTGCTCGACATCAGCAAGCAGCCGGTGCTCGAGCACCGCCTCCAGCCCTGCTCAATGAGGACGATCCTACAGTCCTCAGACAATATATCCAAGGAATGCAGGACAGACAGCGGGACGCATTTCCCTTCGGGGATAATCTCATTGCACAGTTTTTCATATACAAAGTGAGTTGTCAGATCAACAAAGAGAACGACTCACAAGTGCAATGTCATTGAGGAACATCTCACTCGAGAATTATTCCTATGAGATGCTGAAGACACACTACCATGAACTCTTCATCACAACGAGGACATCGATCCAAGATCCATCCATCCGACCTCAAGGAGGCAGCCGAAGCAACACATTCTTCATCATCGAACAAGGTGAATATGAAGGAGAAGAAGGCTTCTGGGTTGAGGATGAAGAAGGACTTGAAGGATTCATGTCAAACAACGATGAAGAGACGTTCTGGGTCCTCGAGGAGAACGATGCGTTCATAGCAAGAAAAGTGTCGGGGCGGAACTTCAAGTTCAAGAAAAGAAAAGGAAAAGGAAAATCAGGAAACAAGAAGGGCAGTCCCCAACGAGGTGGCTTCAAACCCTTCAGAAAAAGCGGTTCTGGCGGAAAGGCCAATATGGCCAACGAAAACTATGATCCCTACGACCAGGCATATTGGGGAAAAGGCAAAGGAAAGAAGGGAAAGAAAGGAAAATCAAAATTCCAATATCCCTATGATGGAAACAAAGGTTATCCATCCTATGAGAGTGGCAAAGGAAAGAGCGGACAGGAGAAAGGAAAATCCAAGACGTTCGCAGCCACCGCAGAGAGCCCCCATCCAGCAGAGACCAAGACTGGGATCAATCATGGACATGGAACGAACATGGCTGGTACTCATCCCATGAGACATCCAGCACAGGACAAGCGTTAATGGCATTCCATGATGCATATGAGTATCCTGGGAAAAAGGCCATCCACGAGAAGCTGATCCAATCAGATGCAGTTTCAGAACACAATCTGTCCGTCACAACAAATCACAGCCTTTTGGCAACAAAGCTGATGGCGCCTGTCATCAACCCTCAGCACAACCCGACCTATGCGATTCTGGACAACGGATGTACCAGATCTATGGGCAGCTGGCATGCAATCCAGCGTTTTACCCAGGCAATCGAACCAATGAAGGACATCATCTCCTACGAGTACATCCCGGCCGAGACCAAGTTCACTTTTGCAAACGGAGAGACCGCCAGGGTAAATTGGACCCTGCATCTTCGATATCACACAACTCCTCCATGCAGTACGAACATCGACATCCTTGAACAAGGAACTGTACCGATCCTTCTCAGCATCAGCCAGATGCGAACCTCTACATGACCATCGAGCACACACCTCAATGTGACAAGATCACATGCAAGGCCTTTGGCATGAACCGTCAAGCAGTTCCAGTATCCGGTACAGGACATGCACTCGTCGATCTCGCTGGAGTTGCAAGAGTGAAGGCACATGGAGAAATTGCTCACAAGGGCCTCACCAACTATGTCTATGACGATGATAACAGCATCAAATTTCCCTCCGGGGATCTCACCAGAGCGAAACTGTTTGTGCAGCAAAATCATCCGAGACAAAGGAGGACCTAGCAACTCCTAAGATCATTGGGTCTCAAAAGCAGGACCATTGGATCCTTGACAAGAAGAACAAGCAGCTCATCCGTGTGCACATCACGCCCCGAAAGGCGCTGTTCACACCAAATGGAGCCAAGGAATGTCCAATCAATCCTGATCACATCAGCCGAGAACGTACCACGGAAATCATTGATGCATCCGCAGGTGGAGATCCAGACATCTTGGAAGACAATTGGAGACTTACATCCCAGGCAAATAAACCGATGATTAATCTGTGGATAGGTAAGACCATTTTCACCTTCTCGGACAATTCGCTGAAGGACGTAGAAGCAGGTTCAGGATCGGCAGCAGACAGGATCATCGACAAGAGGGGCCAGTCGACTATTGAGCCAGATCCTTTCGCACCATCCTCAGAAGAACCAACATCGCTTCCGCTTGCCCTAGGCAGAATCCCCAAGCGAGTGTCTAACCCAGAAGAGTTGAAGAAACTCCACCTGCAGCATCAGCACATGACAACAGATCAATTTCGATTTAGAACCCGAGCACTTCATTTGCCGAAATCAACATTCGATCTATTTGACAAGATCCGAAGTGAGTGTGAAGTTTGCCAAGTGGCGAAACATGCACCATCACGAAGCAAGACAAGCGGACTTCGAGCGGACACCTTTGGTGACATGACATTCATTGATCACTGTCAAGTTCCTCTTGGAACTGGAGAACACATCATTGTTTTTGTCATCCTGGATGGAGCAACAACATTGCTCACTGCAGAGGCAGTGACAACTACGCAAGAAGTCGAGAACATCACTGTCCTCAGGAACTATTTTGACCAGTACCACTTGCAGCCCAAATCAGTTGTCGCAGATCAAGCCTTCATGACAGATACATGGGAACATTTCTATCAGTCCCTTGACATCACTCCGATATCTCTGGGACCAAATACACCATGGCCAAATCGAGCTGAAGCAGCAGTTCGACTCCTGAAGGCACAACTCAAGATCATGCTGAGTTCCATCAAAGCAGGCACTGCACCTGCAACACTGAAGAAAGTGACCTATAGGCAACTGGTGAAGGCCGCTGCAACTGTCAGGAATCAGACCGTCACCTACGGGGGAGTAACTCCATTGGAGCTCGCATTCGGAAGACGACCAGCAGATCTCATCCAACTCGATGTCGCAACTCCAACTCAGTTGACGATTGACAGGAATGAAGAAGAGATGACAGCCATCCAGATCAAGCAGCTGTCAAAGCAAGCTTTCCAAGAAGCACGTCAATCCGAGGACATCCGACGAGACCTTGCACAAAATCTCCGAATGAGTTCAAAGCCTCTTCAGGTGAAGGACAAGGTATTTTGCTGGCAGGAAGACAAATCCAAGATTCGTTCCGATGGAAGCAAGGGAGGAATATGGCTAAAAGGAAAGTCATTTCCATTGAAGGAGCAATGGTAGGACTTGATCTTGGGACTCGACTCATCAAGGTTAACATGACGAAGCTCAGGAAGGATGAGACCACCCCTCCGGGGAAGCCCGGAATTGACCTTTTGTTACCTGAAGAGTGAGAATCCTTGCAGAAGGAGCAACCAGGCTCCTCTGTAGATACCAAGAAAAAAGAAACATCCGCACCAGCTCCTAAGCCAAGATCCTCAGCGCCATTACGTATTGCGGGAAAAACAACTCCAAAACCTGCAGTACCTCATCCAGCAGAGAACATGTTCGTCGAGGACCTCACATCCATTCCTGAACAAGCACATTGGAATTGTGTACGTAA